TCAGTACTTGATGGAGATGACGACGAAGTTGAACTGTCAGTACTTGATGGAGATGACGACAATGTCGAACTGTCAGTACTTGATGGAGATGACGGCGAAGTCGAACTGTCAGTACTTGATGGAGATGACGGCGAAGACGAACTGTCAGTACTTGATTCAGATGGCGACAAAGTTGAACTTGGAGTACTTGACGGAATTGATGGTGAAGGTGAACTTGAAGTAGTTGATTCAGTAACCGGCGGCGCAGTTGTAGCCGGGCATTCTATCGCTTTAAATGCATCCGGATCCGAAGTGCATTTCCCATTTACAGTTGACTTGCAAACGATGCACTGCAACGATTCCCCTAAAATTCAAAAAATTCCTCACAATTCCGGGCCAAAAATTTACCCTAAAAATTCCGTAAACTTCAAATAAATACCTAGTTTCAACTCGGCGATGAATACAAATGCGAAGAGCACAAGTATCACAGTCTTACTTGCAATCATTTTGAATTATATCTAAAACTCGACAATGAAACGACTTGAACGCGAAGCCTGAAGCCCAACAACTGACACCCGAATGATCGCTGTCGAACTGTTCAAGTTGATGAATAGCCCTGAGTACTTCCACTGACGACCAATGGTTATATGATATAAAGATAATTGTGATAATTTATATTTCGTCCCTTTAAGTCTTCAGCGATCATTACGATCGGCGCAATCGTTATCGGATATTTTTTTTTGTTATTCTATCAGTCGACAATTTTCTTTTGTTGCGCCTATCTAGCGATAACGTATCGTAAACATCTTTACATTTGATTCCCTGGGTTGTCGATTCTATTATCGGTTCATCGTCTGCCCCACTCCCTGTTAATTTGACAATTGACAATTTTTCCATTTGCCTACATGATTCAGATCGTTAACGTAAAAAGTCATTAACCAAAAGTACAGTATCGGAGAGGTATTGGAAAATGAAATCCATGAGTAAACACATAATTATTTTTATTCAAATCCATTGAGATTGTTGGGATAACTTTCGACTGTTGAAACTGTAGAAAGTCGAATCCTCTGAATTCACACATGTAATATTATTCGGAGAAGACAAATCAAGTATTACACATTAGCGTAATTCAACGGCTTCAACGGCTTCAATCAAGTGTTAATGAAAATTTTAAAATTTTTGTTGGGATTTCATTAAGTGTAAAAATTATAATATTTCCTTGGGATTTTTTCCGAATGTCAACACAAAGTCCCACAGGGTGAAATAATCTAATCCTTGGATATCTCTAAACAAATCCTAAAACCCAAGAACGATTGGCAGTGTAAACTGATGATAGCGAAAACTTTACAATCCACCACTTTACGATCACCAATTTCCCCTAATCCGGATGAATCTAGTAATTTCTACATTTCCACAAAATAATTATCAAAAGAGTGAAAAACAAAAAATAAGTGGGCTGTCGACTTTATTTCCTCTGTATTGTTGCTTCTCCCTTAATTAATCAGAAAGAGAAGTGCCCGAATTAATTAATTAATCAATTCATTAATTTCTAATTGATTAATTTGAAAAACTAAACAAATGTGTCCGAATAGATCGCGAAAATCGATATTATTTGAGTTAATCACTAGAAATAACTAGTCATCACAAAACGAAAAATTTCGAATTTCAAATTTCCAATTTGACAAATAATTTCTTTCAGTCGGAGGCAAAAAAAAACAAAAATAAAAATACGGTTTTTACTTCCTGTCGGCCTCGCAGTGCCTAATAATACTATTTCATTAATCTCCGCATTACATATTTTTTCGAGTGGAGGTAAGGAGGACACAGCGATGCCGTGGGATTTTTTTTTCAGACATCACAGTGTGCAATAAACCATCGGCTGTGATTTTTCAAGTGAAAATCCATGGTGTATCCACACAGTGACACGTTAAATTGTCCTCTCTCTGGTTTCACACAAATGAAAAGAGTATCTATCCCCGTGTACACATATTCCCCTGGACTTCCGCCGATTTTTTCACTCGATTGTATGAGTGTTAGCCGTCTGTGGATCTCAGGCTGGTGAGCGTCTGCCCATCGGAATGCGGTTGTACCACTCGCAATGTTCCTCTTTTCCAATCCTCTCATCTCCCTCCAACATCCAGCATTCCCCTCAGGTGATATTGCATACGTGTTTAAATCCAAAAATTACAACGAAAGAAAATGATTTTTCAGTGTCGCCATTTTCTGTCTGTCATTTTCCTCCATCTTCTTTTATCTTTTTGTCTCTCATTCACAATGAGTTATTTTCATTACTGTGGTATTTATTGGTAATGCAAATGTCACTCGTTTGCTCGTGGCTTAAACGAGCACTTTACGGTGGACTAATTGTGCCATTGGGGCTTAATGGCCGATTCCATTAAGTGCACTATTATTTGAACACATTATGTTGGGGGGAAAGTGAATAATCGACATTTTTTTTAAATTAAATCGTGAATTTTGCCCGAGGTCATGGCAGAAGGCTACTTCGCACTGGGCGTTTGTACTCGTCATCTACGTCTCGGAGATCTGGTGGATCTGCATATCCGCTGTCATCGTATCTAGTGCAGCGAGAACCTGGAGATCTTGGAGGGTGCACCGAGTGCACGGGATGAATGCTGAAAATGATTATCATTCAAATAATTAATTAATCAATTGCATTCATTTAGAGAGCAGAATGGAAGCTGTTACTTGGTGTTGTGAAATCGCGCTTTGTTAATTTAATGATCAACTAGAATCGGGATCATGGTATTGAATCTTCATAAACACCTCGTACTTGAAATTGAACGATTCACGGTAACAACAGGTAATCCAGTTGGATCGATATCTAATCTCGGATTGATCGTTACCTTTGCGAACGATTGATAAAATATTATGACATTGGGATGACATTGTTGGAGGAATCGAAGTTTGTTGAGCCAATGGGTTACAAATTAATTCAGATAGGTTCTTTCAATCCCATCTATTGAGTGGAAATCGGTTACAATGTGAATTTCTATTCCCATTATTACATTCTATGACCTTTACTGTATTCTATTTTCAAGTGATGAACAATACAACGTCGTACCGCTTAAATCTCTCCATTTTTTTTATCGTTGAGATATCATTTACAAATCTGGGGGGGCTGATAGCTAATTTGGGTCATTGAAACTGTGAAAAATAGCTTTATAATCTTTTTATGAGTGACTGTGATTTTCCAAGATGTTTTGTCAATATTTATCACGTTTTTTCCAGTCTATAAACGGATATTGGTGTTTTGTTATCATTTTTTAAAATCAACTACAGTAAGACTTATATTGATCACTTATATTGACAGATCAATCGGTTAATTTTCATTAGTTACAATTCCGATCAGTGGATTTTTCTCCAACGCTTGATTTTTGCACAATGAACCACTTGCTTTTAATCAAATAGAAGCTTTATAATATGATCATGTGAAGAGTAACCTATTTTTTTTTTATATTTTGTATTATCTAATTAGAGGAGATACCTCTTATTATCTTGGTATCCTATTAATTTTATTTGTCTGGAATCTAGTTGTAATTAATTACAAATGTTTTCAAAACGTGAAGCAGAAAAATTCCTCTGCTGATACCGATGATTTTGAGAGGTGAGTCACAGGTTGAAGATGTATATCTCAAGTAATCGGAGAATATAATCAAGTGTTTTCTTCAGGCTGATAAGAATTTCAGCCCGTTATTTCAAGGTAACCATTCCAAAATAAAATATACGCTGAATTTTGGGACAAAATATTATACACAATTTGACTGAGATTTTTCTGCGACCATTTCATTTTCTACATTTCTCTACCCTCTACATTTCTACATTTTCATTGACATTCTCAGAGTCTTTTAGCAGATGAACCGTCAATTTGAATAATTTTTGATAATTGTTCTATTTGCTTTGATAATTCTTTTTCTTAAAAATTGAAAATTTAAAAATCGGATCGACACTTAGAATCGCCACCGGACGGAACTCCTAATCTATCGCGGATAGAAAGAGTATCTTCCGTACTTTTTCAATGAAATAGTGATAATAAAGTATAATACAAAAAAATGTGCTATCTCTGTGATTCCCTATATTCGTCGAAAGCTTATGACTGGACAATCCGTGACTCAACTTCATTTTTCAAAAATGAATAGAACAGGCTTCGAACCATTACATTAATCGTTATTAATTCGTAAAGAATCGAAATTAGGTGCGGTATAAATAAATAAAGTAGTGAAAAATGATTTTACCTTGTGCACCTCGAGGGACTAGTTTCCAGGGGTTCATCATATCTTCTGGAGAGCATGGTGAAATCTCTGTGGGCGGCCACTAATTTTTGCAGCCGTGAGATAATCTCGTAATCGGGTGTACAGATGGGCTCATTAAGTATTTTGGCGACAGAAACTCGAAAGCTCTGGAGTTGTGACTCTCTCCTCGTGACCTCCGCCAAATTCTGCTTGACCTGCGCCAATTCGTCCCTCAGCAGTTGCAAGGAGTGATCATTTATCGATCTCTCCTGATCAGCACTCTCCGTCGTTGTACGCATTTGATCCTTGAGTAAACCGAACTTTCTAGTGTATCGTGTTCTCAACATTTCACTCTCTACCAGACGCTTTTGTAGTTCCTCGATCTTTCTGCTCCGCTCCAATGCCGCTATCTGCAATGAATCCATCAATTTATCCCAATCCTTTCTATAAATTCAAGAAAATCTAATATGAAAAGGAGAAAAGAAATCGATCTCGAAATATCGTGAAAATCTCGAAATATCTCGAATGACCGGAAGGGTAAAAGCCGCAAGACGAAATCGACCCGCCACTGCCACGTCGTAGCAAAATTAAAAAAACTCAACAAACGTCGAAAATTCAAAAAATCGGTTAACGTTGAGAATCATTGTGGACACCAAAGGAAGTTGCAAATTATTGGACAAATTTGATCAAGGGCCGGGAAGAGCGGAAAAGTTTGGAAAATTCAAAAAATCTCAAACATTCAGGCAATCTCTAAAATTTGGGAAATAATTTGCTTTTTCGATAAGGAAAATATGAAAAGAATGATTTAATATATAATTTGCTTACTTTCTTTATGGATCTTTACATAAACAAGAGAAAGGAAATCGATCTCGAAATATCTTGAAAATCTCGAAATATCTCGAATGACCGGAAGGGTAAAAGCCGCAAGACGAAATCGACCCGCCACTGCGACGTCGTAGCAAAATGTTGAAAAATCAACAAACGCCAAAAATTTAAAAAATCGGTTAACTTTGAGAATCATTGCGGACACCAAAGGAGGTCACAAATTATTGGACAAAATTGACCTAGGGCCGGGGAGAGCGGAAAAGTTTGGAAAATTAAAAAAATCTCAAACATTCAGGAAATCGCTAAATTTTGGAAAATAGTTTGCTTTTGTGATAACAAAAATATGAAAAGAATAATTTAATTTACAATTTGCTTACTTTCTTCATGAATCGTTATATAAACAGGAGAAAGGAAATCGATCTCGAAATATCTCGAAAATCCCGAAATATCTCGAATGACCGAAAGGGTAAAACCCGCAAGACGAAATCGACCCGCCACGACGACGTCGTGGCTAAATCTCAAACATTTTGAATGAATGCGCGAGCGGAGCACGATCTCGTGGTAAAAAAATCAGAGATTATTGAGAACTTCAATCACTCCCCCACGTATTTTGACTCATTGTTCTTACTTAGAAAACAGCAAGGAATTACCCTCAATCATCCCAAAACTCTCAAATCTCCTTTTCTCCCATTCGATTTTCTCCTTTTCCATCATTAAAAGAATGAAGACAATTTTCCACGCAATTGCAAATGCTTTCCCAATCCCCAATTACTTATTAATTTCCCATTTCGTCGGATGTTAATATCCCACTCTAATTCAGCAATAGAAATTCCGAAAAATCGAATTCTTATCGAAGAATGAGAAATCGGCGAAAAGGGGTTAAAAATTGCGGAAAAATATAGTAGCGGGGAATAACGATCATCTAATGACTATGGTATCCTCGAAATACATATTCATTAACCTTGTAATCAGCGGCTTCGGTCAGTTGGGTACTGAGCTCTCGATTTCGCGACTTTTCTTCCGCCAATTGGATCTGCAAACGCTCCACTTGCTTCGCCGCTTTCTTAGCCCTGAAATAATAATGACATTTTAAATATCATTTAATGACTCATGTCAGGCAAAGACTTACCGGAGATTGGCGTCATCCCTTTCGGCCTGGAGGATGGTCTTTATTCTCACGCCATCCTCGTGCAATGAGAGTTTCCTCCGCAAAAGGTCCAGGTGCAAGTCTCGACGCTGCAATTGCTCTCGAAGTGTCCTCACGCGACGCTGCAGCTGATAAACAACGGATGTCTGCAATATCCATTTGTCATTTAATATAAATCCATGATTTTTATTGATCAGCCGACAAAATCCTGGAGTAAATTGCCCCAAAGAAAAAATTGCAAACGATAAAATTGCAGGTCGACATTTGTGAATGCATCAATTGATTTTAACGCAAGGAAACTTCAGGGAAATACTTAAAAATTTATAATAAATGTTTGTGCAATTCCATTAGCTGAGGTTTGCGGTTGAAAAAATAATCATCAATAAATAAGCAAAAATAACAATCAACCTACAGAATAATGTGAATGAAAAAATGGGATATCTCTCTTGATTCGTTCTCTCTCATTAAATAAACGTGTAATGCTTGTTGATAATCCAAAATACTCATATGAAATCATTGAAAATAATCTCTAAATTTTCCTGTCTACACGCTTACTTCTTTGAGACACGGTAGCTCGAACGACCGCTCCCGTCGAATCCTGGGAAATGTAGTGTAGTTGAAGACTAGCTGTTGAAAGCCCACGCAAACAGAGAAATTTAAAAAAAAAACGAAGAAAGACAGACAATGAGAGACAACAGTTATGAAAGCGAATGTGAAGACCACGAATATGTATCAATCATTGTTTGTTCGTCATTATTTTTCACCTTGTCGACGAGTTTGTCGGTCTCTAAACGAGCCAATTGCTCAGCACGTACGAGCAAAGCCTCTGTCTGCAGCTCCAAACCGATCTCCTGGGAAATTTCATCCATCTGCATGGCCTTCCCCAGACGATCCAGAAATATTTGAAACTAAAAAAACAAATATTACTCGTTGACCTCCAAGAAACCTTTGTCTTAATTCTCATTTCTATTTCTGTTTCGTCATTGTTGTTTTATTGTTTTTGCTTTCAGCTGACGGTGAGGGATTTTCTCACAGTATTTTACTGATGTCTTGATAAAAAATGGGGATCACGCGGATTAAACGTGTGATGTTTTCTTTCGTTTGTGTAATGACTTAAAATCAGGCCTCTGAGACGTAGTGGGGCGAATTAATTTTTTAGTTTTCTTTCTTTAGCAGTTTTCATCGTTTTATTATTATTTACGGGAATAAATGTATGTGAAATCAACAATTGGTTAATGAAAGAATTGAATTCTTGAAAAAAATCCATTTTCTCTTTGAAAATCCGAGATGTACCCCTGGGTTGAGGCGCAAAACAAAATTTTTTGCTTCCAATATTTTTGATAATTTTATCGTCATTAGTAAAGAATGAATTTTAATTTCATCAGAATAAATTCAACTCCGAATTCATCTCCGAGTAAATAAAGAATGCAATTGCTCGACTCGCATTGACATCCACAACGCGTATAATTATTCTCTTACGCTCTGTTTGTCCCTCCGCAGTGACTCTTTGGTGAGTTCGCAGCTGGTGAGCTCTGACTCCAATTTATGAATTTTAGTCTCCAGAAGAGCACGATCCTCCTCAAGATTTCTCATTTTTATCAAGCTCGAATCAACCAGCTCCGTCTGTCGACCCGCTGCATCAGTCGCGGTATTTAATTTATCTTTGAGACTTTGGATTCTCTGGAATGATCGCCAGTGCGAAATGATTAATGCATTAGTAATAATTGAGGTTCATAAATGCCTCGCCTCTTTTTGCCGAAGAAAATCGTTTCAAATGAAGAAAAAAATGATAAGATAAAGCTACCAGGAAGATGATACTCTCACGAGAACCGGAAGAATCACGAGAACAAAATCCTAAAGTCCCACGGACAAATATTTTCATAAATATGATAAAGATTTTGTTTCCAGTGTTGATAGATTCCCTGAAGACCTTACCATCGCCTGATCCTTGCCGTCAGCCAAAATCTCCCGTATCCTGTCCTTGACGGCACTATCGTGGGACTCAACAAAACGACCCGGTGTGCTCAAAAGAATCGTCAGGGACTCGAGAAAATGACGCATTTCATTCTGGGCCCTCACCGCCTTCTCCTCACGATTTTTCAAGTCATCTGCATTATTCCTATTGTATTACAACTCGTGTCTAACAATAACAATAACCACCCGTACAATGACGACTGTACATACATGATGTACGTACCTCGTAGCTGACAAATAATAGCTTCCTGGTTGGTAACATTTCCTGTGGCACTGGTGAGACTTCTGTTAGCATTCACCAATTTGTCCCTGAGCTCATTATTCTCTCTCTCGGTCACTCTGTACTGCATCTCAAGACACTCCTTGTCCTGGATTAATCGATGTAATCAATTGAAAACATTGAATGAGAAGAGAAAAAAATCGATTGGTTGTTAAATTTTGAGAAAAAATCGGATTGATATGTTTAGAATAGGAAATAAAAGAAAGCCATGATTTAAAGACTAGTTTAAAATGTCATCATTGTTCAAGATTTATGAGTGACTTTCACCTGGCGAAGACGATCGAGTTCGGTATTGAGATTCGATATCTGGCGTTGCATTTGATCTCTGTCGATATTGGCTCGATCTAGGGCATCTCGGAGGCTTTTCGTTTCCACTTCAACGGATGTCAAGTGGCTTTCTACACTAGTTGTCTTCGTACGCAGCCTGTTGACCTCTTGAACCAACTCCTCAGCCTTGTGAATCACCATTTCCGGTGTGTGATGGGTGCTGTCGCAGAATTCGCTGTTGAGTGCGTGCGCCAATCGTCGAACAAAATCGTGAAGATTCAAGCGCGCACGTTCTTTCATCTCGATCTCCTCCGACATGTGGTGCTCCAATTGACAAATTTTTTTCTCGTACTCTCGATGCTTGTCCTCGTGGTATTTCAGGTCTCTCTGGAGGCTCTGGAGAGTTATTTCACTTCGACCCTGAGTTGCGTACAGATTCCTCTCTCGATCCTCCAGGTCCTGGGGGTAGAAATGATCGATTGGAAAATTGAAATTCGCTGGAAGTAATTCCGCTCGAATGAACATTGGAGGACAGTTCGAGATGATATTACTTGGATTCTTTTTTTCAGACTGGAGATGATGGAGTTCTGTCTGGCAGCCTGTTCCCTCAGCTGATCAGCCTCCACCTGTAACTCCAGGAACCTAGAGTCCTTGCATCTCACCGTGGACTTCATCTCTTCCAACTGAAAATCAATTAGGTACCATCAACAAACGATAACTCTCAATTGGATGGATTAATCACTTACTTCGGCTGAAAGTCGATCTCGTTTGTACTCCAGTACCGCCAATTCGCTCTTCAGGCACGTCGTGACATCGTGGCTCATATCTTCCTGCTCCAACTGGAATATTGTTGAATCGATAAATGACCCAATACTTCTCCCTCATTTCATCTCGAACCGCGGTTAAATATCGCGGAAATATATCGTTCTACTCATCGAGTCGATATCCACGGCAAATGTTTTTCACTCGAATTCCATACGAGAATTTATCATTACTTCGGACAAATCGGTTTATAATAAATAAATTCTTATGTTGTTCTCCGGAAATTTGCGTTTAATTTTTTTTCCTGATAATCATAATATTTTTGTACAATTTTTGGCAGTTGAATTGTCAAATTCTGATTTCTACTAGATTTATCGTATTATTTATTACATTACAGCATTCAGACTAAAAATTTTGACTTAATTTTATTAAAAGTTTTTTGACTTTTGAAAAGATATCGCCAGATTCAAAAAATGGCGGTTAAATCTGTTTGCGAATTTTCCTCCGGGTGAAATGTAAAGGGCGCCTGATTTCAGGGAATAATTCACAAATTACTATTTTTTCTTTCGCGAAAATCGCGGGACCCGCGAGAGGCGACGGGCGCAGAAATTCATCGGGCGAATCCATGTAAATGGTTTCCTACTCGTGATAGGGCATATCGTGACAACACAATGCACGAGCTCATCCCGAGCCTCAGGAAGGAGCGACAACTATTCCTAAAAAAAAATTCCCCATTGCTGCAAAATGTTGACTAGAAATAAACCGCGTATCCCGCGCAATAAACAACCGCAAATGATATTTGAAAATTCCGTGGCATTACGAAGAACTTGAGGAAGTATACCAACACCTGAGCAGGTGAAAAATCGATCCGCAGAAATACTATGGCAACGCGCCCTTATTCCCGCAGGTCAATATTTCCTGACGTCAAATTATTATTTATTTTAAAAATCGCTGAAATCCTTAAAAAAATCAACTGAAAACTTTTTTAAACAACTGATTTAACATAAATAAAGTTTTCCGTTGCTAAAGTGCCTGGAATTAACTGAAATGTGGAAATTGAAAATAAAAGCTGGTGCAAATTTCGGTAGCTGTTTATTTGAATTATAATTTTATCATCACCTTATCTGGTGAAGAGATACAGAGAGTCTCGAAGATCCTGAGGTCCTCCTCGGTGTTTCCTGGGGTTTCTTTCGGAGATTCCTCGGAGCTCGCCATCCTCTATATCTAATCCGCCCCACAATAACTAACGATTTTTAATTTATATTAATTATCGATTCATCTCGGGGGGAACTCTCTCGTGAGTGTCCTGACATTTAATTGCAAATGCAAATTAGAGAACAGAACAGGTTCAAATGCACGTGCAGACGCGGAGGGTAATGGATAAAAGTGTTGCCCTCACTCCTATTGAATGTCAACAGGAGACTTCAAGGTTGAGGCGACGCCATTGCAATCGACTATTCAATGTCCAGACAATAATAATATCTGGATAAACCTGATTTAATTTTTACATTCATAGAAATGATTATTGAACTTTACATGGGAAATTTTGAATGAAGAGAGTGAAGAAATCGAGTGAGTTCCTGAGTTTCACTGCCTCGGGGAATCTACTTTAATTTCTGGTGTCAAGGTAGGTTTCCTCGCAGAATTGTTGTTAGGAATATCTCGATTAACAATAGGAAATTGTACAGAATTTGTTTATTTCTTTTTGCGAATGAATCTGATATTTCTAATTTTCCAGTGTATGTTACAGTTCTACCAATGGATTTCAAAATTATTAATTTATTTTTTGTCCAGGTTGCGCCAGACGAAGTCACCGACTCCAACGAATCCCCAGCCCATGACTGCTATGGTGAGGCCGAGCAGAATTTTATCGGGGCTTCCTCCCATGAGGTAGACTGGAGTCCCCCTCCAACCTAACGTCTACAAAAATAATGTAATCAATTATTATTTTATTTACTATTATCTAGGAGAGACCTACAGAGTTATCCCAGCAAATGGAATTGATTTCATTTCTATTGGGGGTTTTGTAATATTTTTATGGATAATTTACCTGGAATTTCTTCATTTTTGCCACCACCTGAGGAGGTAAAGAACTGACATTGCCTCCTGACCCTGCAGCTGGGCTGTTGACCTTGGCGGCCTGTGTTTTGACACTGTCCCAGATCATAGTTGGCTGATCAGCTGTTTGCAGAGGATTCGGAGACTGAATGCAAAATAATCGAAAATACTTATCAATTCAAATAAATTGGCACATGCTAAATAAGTTCATGTATATAAAAATCCACGGAATTTTTCAATGGAATCAGCAAAAATTGTCGGCAGTTTTTAGATCGTGTAACGAATATTAATATATATATGATTTTAAATAACGAGAAAATTCCCTCAATCTTTTCAACAGTGAAAAATGAAAATTAAGGAATAATCCATAAAGCAGACATTGAGGTTAAGTTGATTGTTACTCTGACAGTCAACAATTGGCGCATTCTACCCCTCAACAATTACTTGTTGTCATTAATTTTTCCACTGCCAATTTTTATTTGCGTCTTTCGTAATTATTGCGATGGAAAAACCCAGAAAAATGGGGTGGAAAAATAATTTTCGTATCGACGAGTTGTGTAATCAGACACATGAGTGAAAATAGTATGTTTAACAGTTGATTCTAAAGCAGAAGATTTCGACAGTGTCTTTGATTATGGAAAAATGAGGAATTACTCACAATTGGATAGAGTGGCTGGAGATTTGTTGAATTTTTCAATCGACCAGTGAACTGATTGAACTGGTAAAATGGCATCTTGAGCTCAAAAGTTGCGCAATTACTTTGAGTCTGCGCAGGCGCGCTCCGATTAGGTACCACTGTACACAAACTTGTAAATTTGGAATAATCCGCAAGTTGTCAAAATTCTGTACTCCCGGAATAATGCAAAAATGGATAACAAACAGCCGCCAACCATCATTTTCCACCCGATCATCTCGTCGATCCAAAAAATCGCACTATACGAGACCAAATCAGTAAGTCTACTTGCAAAAATTAATGAAATAAACAAAAAAATGTTGGTTAAGAACCCCCAACTGTTTCAAACTATTTTCTAAATTATTCCACAGCGTTTTTTTGAAGAAAAAAACATCCATAACAAATTCCAACTCTGTCGCAGAATTAAATAAGCCATTTATGGAGAATTGAGAAAGTCTAATAGTTTCATTAAAGAATGCTATTGTTTTTAATTATTTAAATGAACAATTTAACAAAAAACCGGAGGAAACTCTTACAAAAACTTTAGTCAATTTTTGTGGCACATTGCTTTATCTTTTGGAATATAATTAAATAGAAAAACCGAACGCATATTGAAATTTCCATTTGAAACCTTTGCTTTCAGAGATTCTACTTGATGGGTTCGAACAATACTCAAACTCGCTTCCGCGTGTTAAAAATCGACCGTCAAGAGCCCCGAGAGCTCTGGCTGGTGGATGACAAGATGGAATATACCCAAGACGAAATAATAGAGCTAGTAAACATGATAGATCAGGGTAATCGTTCAAAGGGTGGTAATCGTTCAAAGTCCCAGGGATTAGCAAAGGTGGTATCAGCCTTCGGAATCGTTGGCTTCATTCGTTTCCTGGAGGGCTATTATCTCATCCTCGTGACAAAACGCCGACGTGTTGCAGTAATCGGTCACCACACGATCTACAAGATCGAGGACACAACGATGATCTACATCCCGAATGATTCCGTCCGTATTTTTCACCCAGACGAGCAACGCTATGTCAAGATGTTCCAGAGTATTGATCTGAATAGCAATTTTTACTTCAGCTACTCGTATGATTTGACTCAGACCCTGCAAACGAATTCAGCAGCTCCAAAGCACATCAAATCTGAGACGACAAATGAATCGACAAGTCAAAATACAGTGGGCAATGACGAGGACTTCTTCAACATGTGGCTGTCGAGAAAGAACTGGCAGAAGAGTGACGAGTATGGGATACGAAGCAATCCTCATCGTCGTTTCGTCTGGAATGATCACCTGCTGAAACCCGTGGAGAAGGACCTCCACAGGGACTGGATCCTCTATATCACACACGGTTTCGTTGGCCAATCAAACGTCAGCATATTTGGCAGATCGATGTACATTATTTTGATTGCAAGAAGAAGTAACAGATACGCTGGTACGAGATTCCTGAAACGTGGAGCCAATTGCAAGGGTGACGTTGCTAATGAGGTGGAGACTGAACAAATAGTCCACGACTCGGCAGTGAGTTCCCTTCACAACGGTAGATTCAGCTCCTTCGTCCAGATGAGGGGATCGGTTCCTGGGTACTGGTCCCAGGATATCAGCAAAATGGTGCCAAAGCCGACAATCTCCTGTGTTCTAGCGGATCCATTTTTCGAGTGCACTGGGGCCCACTTCAATGAATTATTAAAACGCTACGGTGCCCCCATTATCATCCTCAATCTCGTGAAGAAACGGGAGAAGAAAAAACACGAGAGTATCTTGAGTGAAGAGATGTTCGACGCTGTGGAGTATCTCAATCAATTTCTACCCCTCCACCATCAGATCCAGTACGTAAGCTTCGACATGGCGAGGATGAATAAAGGAAAGACTGCGAACGTCATGGGAAGACTAGGCAATATCGCCAACAACGCAGTCCTCAAGACTGGAATCTTCCAGTCTCAGGAGCCGTACTACAACCAGAGAAGAGTCCTCAATCCCTCAGGGAGTGTCAGGAGAAGTCACAGGGAGATGACGAGCTCGATTACCAAGGGATCTGATGTGGAGGTGAATCCCCTGATCGAGGATAAGATCAGGGATTTGTTCCTCACGAAGGGAACAGTTCAGACTGGAATTATCAGGACTAATTGTGTGGATTGCCTCGACAGAACAAATACTGCGCAATTTGCCATTGGAAAGTGTGCACTAGGTTATCAGTTATGTGCTCTTGGAGTCTTGGAGCAGCCAAAGCTGGAGTTTGATTCTGACTGCGTTAGAATGCTTGAGGAGATGTACGAGGATCATGGTGACACTCTTGCTCTGCAATATGGGGGCTCTCAGCTCGTTCACAGGATCAAGACGTACAGGAAGACTGCCCCCTGGACTAGTCAAGGGAATGACATCATGCAGACTCTCAGCAGATACTACAGCAATACATTCAGCGATCAGGAGAAGCAGCATACTATCAACCTGTTTCTCGGGGTTTTCGTGCCACAGGAGGGGAAACCACCGATTTGGGAGATGCTGACGGATTATTATCTCCATAACAAAGTTGCTGTCGAGTACAGAAGGAGGAATAGAGTTCTCACTCAGTGGTGGGACGACAAGGTCTACAAATGCTTGCCTTATGCTTACAATCAGGTCGCCAAGACCTGCTCTGAGATGATTCAGGTGCAACATTCCCAAGAGGAGATGGTCGATATTTATTACGACTATCATCGACCCTTTGAACTCAATCAGCTGGCTGATATTTACGCTTATCAGGTGGGCTTTTTTCCTAGGGATTTCGAGGAATGTCTTCATCTCATTCGTAGCTAATATCTTAGAACTGGAGGGAGATAGTGATTTTTTTATAATTAATTTCTCTACAAAAAGCGTATACATTGAACTTCCGTTAAGTACCCGGCCGATAACTGCCCGCTTCCCTGAAATTTTTGCGAGCTTCTGCCCGTAAACATCAAAAAGCGCAATCGAAACTGAAAATATTATTTTTCCCTTTAAAATTCTCGGAACTCTTTAGTGCGAATTCGATGTGTTTACATTCCCGACCGTGGATACTTAACGAGAGTCCACGGTAAACAAAAATATCGTATATGTTCGATTGGTGAAAAGATATCAGCTATAAACTTATCGTGAAAAAAATGCACTCATTGGCTTTTGTATTCGTTAGGTGAGTCACTCGGTGCGAGACTTTATGCCGCATTTCACCACGAATTTCAGTCCCTTTGCCGTGCGAATCAGGCCAGGAAGGCGAAGAGAGGAGACTTCCAGTAAAAATGCTAACATCAGGAATCCCTCAATGACAGGGCAGAGCAGTACGAGCAGCAATGCGAGCAGTGCGAGCTCTAGTGTGGATACGAGTTCAGACGACGAGGACTCGCGACATGGCAGTGACAGTCAACTGATTCCCCTGAAGGAGCCAGGGGAGGTGATGAGCTTTGAGAGCCTATTTCCCTCGATGAGGGAAGTGTACGGGGTCGAGCCCCAGATCCCCAGGAGAAGTGATCTCATTCTCTATAAGAGATATGTAATGATGGGAAGAAATTCCACTCACCACAGCGATCACTCTAGTCTAAGGTCCAAAATGGTCCAGCAGGCGACATTTCCGGACGTCGTACCTGTCAGGGTGGAGCTTCCCAAGGTCTCTGACATAAGTGTCAGTATTTATGAGCAGTATGTCCAGAGGGGGAGGAATGGGGGTTTCGCCCCCAGTCCCATGGATCTTCATCTTTATGAAAAATATGCCAGGCAACAGCAGATGATCCTCGGGGTGCCCTGCAGAGAGGCTTTCTGACCAATTCATGGAAATCCCTCAGCAATATCAATTTGATTAATTAATTAATTAACTGATTAATATTTAACTTGAAATTATCAGACAATAAACATTTTTAATGGTAAATTAATTCAATGAGATATTCATGTCATTTTGATGTTTTATTTATTGATAGAAATAGGACACAGGCTTTGCGTTCGTCTGCATAATCGAAAAAATAGAATATTCTTCGAAGACCTGCCCGTGATCCCACAGTTTACTTCAACTTCTTCTTGGGGCGGATGTTGTTCGTGTGTCCGCACTTCTTCTTGCGGCAATTTGTTGCTCTTGGGTGAAGACGTGCGTAGCACTTGCGACAGATCATCTTGTCGCAATTGTACTTCTGAGCTAGGATTCTCAGGGTGGGCTCGATCACACCGCCACGAAGACGAAGCACCAAGTGCAGAGTTGATTCTATCAAAGTAAAATTATTGACAGGATTTGAGAGAGATACTTTAATCATTTAATTTGCAATCGAAACGTCACGTTTTTATAACAATATTTTTTTCTGATAGGTCAAATGTTTTTATCTGTTTTAATTAAATAATTGAAAGATGATTACTGGACACTCTTTTCGGTGGATTATCGAGTTATTCATAATTACCCTTTTGGATGTTGTAATCAGAGAGAGTACGCCCATCCTCGAGTTGTTTCCCAGCGAAAATCAATCGCTGTTGGTCTGGAGGAATTCCCTCTTTATCCTGAATCTTGGCTTTGACATTTTCGATGGTATCAGAAGGCTCAACCTCAAGGGTGATAGTCTTTCCCGTCAAAGTCTTGACGAAAATCTGCATTGTGGCTCACCTGGAAAATCCAATCACATTCTCATAAACAGTAATTTTTTAAAATAAAGTCTTTTCTCCCTCGCCAATAAACTGTAAATCGAAAAATAATTATTATCTCAATGAAGTATCGCGAATTCTCTTTCACCATTGACTTCCTAAGAGAATGTTTTTCTACCGCAAAAATATCCGTTCGAATAATTAAATGTAAACAATTAGTTAATTGTGATAATTACTGTTATTGGGAGGTCTGATCAAACTGGAAATTTAGCTGGAAAATTAATTCACAGGGGATAACCTAAAAACGACAGGGAATCCTGTCAATTCTTCGGTCTGACGAAAAACATTTGACGGAGGAATAGATGAAAATTTGAAGGGGCGATAATTCATTTGTCTTTTGTTGCTCATTTTTTTACGCAATTTATTCTTCTTTTGGGGAAAAAATTATGAAAAATTATTGACTTACTGTAACGACAACGTGTAGGCTACACAATTCTCCTGAAAAAGAATCAATCGTAATAGTGGCGACTTCAACTTCCGTTGGCCACAACGAGAAACTCTAAATTTTACTTTCATCAGCAGCTTCTGCGCTCTTCTGGTCAATTTCTGCACTTCAACTGCAATTCCTATTTCAGTTGGTAAAAGACAATTATCAAAACAAATTGTAAAAATTCATGATTATGATTATAGTATTTCTCTGGTAATAATTCATATTTCATATGTTTTTCATATGTTAATTTATATCTTGGCAAATATATTGAAGAAAAAGTCACTAACTGGTCCAATTTATTTTTTACAAATAAACATTTAATTTGTCATTAAAGACGTAAATCATTTTCGCTTAGGTAATAGCAAAAGTAATGAGTAAAAAACTTGGATGGGAAAAATTCTTCGGGGAATTCCCACCGAAGCGCAATGCGATAATTTTTCTTTAATAGATCCTCGGATATATATTTTGCTGGGAAATTATCTCTCGATGAAGTCTTTCATCCTCAATCTCTGAAGCGCAATAATCACTTGATCTCAGAATTGAATAAATCATTATGATCGAGGCGTTACCCATTTTCCCCCGATTCGATAAACTTGTCACAAATTAATCACTACGATGATTCCTCTGACTCACCAGAAATAAAACAAATATTATTTCCACAAAAGAAATTCGCTAAATTCAATTAATCACGTGTTTGAAAAAATGAATGAAAAAATGTAGCGCCTTTATGGGAAATAAAATAAAAGGAAAACAATTCGGCTGAGGTCCAGGATGAATAAATGAGTAAGAAATGATCGTTATGCGGTATATTTCCACTCGCTACCTCGAGGTAACTCAATTACACGTGAAAGCATGCAAACATAATCGGGAGAGTATAGAATTAACCCAGTTTACCATTCTCGCAATAGCCATTAATTAATTTTTTTCTCTCCATTATTTTAATATCCTCAAACTAATGAATCAATATACATTTACATGCAGCCCATCTAAATTATGGCACGCTGATAAGACAAAGTTTTCAATATAATTTACTGTCGATCAATTGAAACTGACAAATTCAAATGAACATAGAAAGATCATCAATTGCGACATTAACATATTTTAATTGACACTGTCTTAGGCGAAAATTATTAAATTAATCATAATGAAAGTAACACAATTATTTCTATCGATTAAATACAATTGGAAGCGTATTTGACACATTAATACAAAAGTACGCACATAATGCAAAAAGGAAAATAGTGATAATAATAAAATAATTATTTATGAAAGATATATCCTCTGAGGAATGAATTCAATAACTAGACATTGTCTACAGTAATTTTTTTGCTGGAGGCACTCGATGATATTTTTACAAATTAGAAAGTGATAATGATCTAGCATCATTGTCTGGAGTGATCATTGTTGCCTGGATAATTCGTTATTGCATCGATCTTATCCCTTTTCTTAGGGCACCTGCCCTGATCCATTATGTACTCTCCAAACTCGCATGTAGGCATTGCACACTCCTTCTTCTGTATGCAACTGAGAACAAAAAAACATGTGCAAGGGGTAATTAATCATCGAGAGGTTGTCGTGAGTCAATGGATCAGTGGGTGACGAATCGAGTTATGAATTTGTGAGATAATTCCCTTTTACTGCGTTTATTTTATGACTATTTCATCATTACTCTCAATTCTCTAGTCCCCACGAGTCAATTGAATTAGAATTAATACAAGAGCCGGAGATATTTTCAGGAGGAGTAATCGATCATTTAGTATTTATAGATTTTCTTGGAAATCATCGAGAAATTCCAAGTGCTTCAGTCCTCGCTCGTCATGGGATTAATTCAAGTGGAATTTTTTCAAGTGTTCTCTTTCAGTTCTGAAGGCCATGGGGGAAAATTTATAAAAATACTTCGGAATTTATTTTCTTTTCTTTCAATTTTGCTTAAAATTTGAAATTTTCATTTACTGTCTGCTCTAATCCCATTAATTAGATCAATTCAATTTTTATTTTAACGGAGAAACAATTGTTATAAGATTTGCTATAGTTTGGCTTGCAATTGCCCGATGTTTCGAAGAAATTACTCACATTCTGTCTCTCACGGAGAAAAAGACTTTTCCTTTTCTTGCAAATACGCACTGCGTGTTGCTCTCGAAGCATTTGCACTGGCACTCACCATCGGAAGTAATTCTCGGTGTGAATTCCGCCGGACATCGACACCTTGAGGAAGTAGAAAAAAAAACCCAGATTATTAAATAAATACTAATGAAGCTGTAACTATTAAAAAAAAACTCCATCAGTCAAGGAATTCACTTAAGATAGACTAACCGCAATAATTGATTCTTTGTTATAATAATTCCTAAAAAAATGTTTTCTAGGCATGAAATACTAAAGACCTTGACAGGCACTCACGTTTTGTTCTGCGGTGAGGGGCCGATATCATGCCCTAGCTGAATCTCATGGTTTTTGCCTTGTAGCTTGTTCATAGTGTTCTCTTCGAACCAATGTCTTTTGATGCACTGGCATTCCGTGTGATTGTGAAACGACAGTTTCTGCACAGTCTTGGGACCCCCAACACGATCTACCTGTAACAAAATCAGATTGATTCATCACGACGACCAAAAGGCATTCGACAGGAACAATGACACGACTCAACAGCTACTCCACCCAACCGCAACAATTCAATTGCCCTTTTCCACGATTAATGTGACAACACCTCAGATAAAGACATTCTCCATCCAGTACTGGCAATTAAATTCACCACCATAATTATTATCATAACCATTACAGAAAACAATGAATGAGCTCATGAGACTGCACGTCCATCATGTGAACCTGCGCCTGCAATTGTCCACAATATCGCAGGGTAAAAAAAATATCGAATGAATTTACAGGTCGACGTTGTCCACGTCGACAGTTACAACGAACTCCATCACGACTTGTCCCTTTTTCTCTTTTTTTTTTATTAATTATTCCGCAGAACCCACACTACGAAAGATATTCCTCTTGCTGAAAAAAATTTCGTAATCAGTGAAATTCTCACAGGATTCAGTTCAATTGGTTATAATTTTATTCAATAACTCTTTTATCTTTACAAGGACGGATCGTAGGACGGATCGTAGATGATACGGAAATAATTGAAAAGGTTTAGTTAAAAAAATCGGTGTGACGGAAAAGTGAATTTTCAAGATAAACCGGATATCGAGTTAATGCATACGACATGGTACCGTCACTGGAGGCAATGATCAAGGGAGTGATGACAGGTAGCTAGTTGCCCTCATTGCCAATATGAAACGTGTAATTTAAGGTGGTAAATAACGATAAAGCGAATGCATAAATCAACGTCTTTGGACGCGCATGAGCTGGATCATGATCTTGCGTACACGCGACGAGGCGTTGAAAACAAACGTTACACACGGAGAGAAATATTTAGTAAAAATTACGGAACTTACAGTTGGCTTACCGATTAGGGGAACGACTTGAAATGTAAGTGGTGGTACCGTAATTTTTCGCTGATAATTCAAATACCAATTACAGAACGCCGCAGAATGATTCCGTGACATCAGGTAGAAATTATGTGACTGTGAATTATATTCAATCAAAATCCCGAGCCGTAATTCCGGAGCGAAATATGACTATAAACTTACATTTTTCAAGTCGATTCCGTAATCGGTAAGCGAACTGAAGGTTCTGTAATTTTTATTAAACATTTCTCTCCGTGCTGGAAGCCATTTCCGCCCGTGACAATTTATCTGGCATCAGGGAACTGCCATTTGAATTTCCCGTAGGGTATTTGCATGGACTCCCAGTGAAATTGCTGCCGCGTGCTTTCTATTATCCGAGATAACCAGACTGTTGGCAGCGGATGGATATGAGTTAGATGAACGCCACTTGAGCTGATTAACCTTTGGTAAAGCCTCGGGTATGTCTTACTCGATAAATCCTCAGGCATCGGATTACCCCGTTCCAAGGATCCACTTCTGCCATGAATTTCCATTTTTATTCCAGATTTTTCCCAAACGTTTTGACCTTCATCCTTGTCCAACTGCTCCCAATAATAATTTATCATTTGAAGACTGCTCCACGTCCATATATAGCCAAAATTCACGTTTTATCATTTTTTTTCCAAATTATCGATGGGATTGATGTTAAAAAATATAACGTTTCGTGGTGGTGCGATAATTTTCATCGTTTTCCTCCACTTTTTGGTGATTCTTTTTAAAAGTTTAGAAAAAACGCTGAAAAATGTTCGCACTGCCTTGAAACATCCAGGGTATTTTGTTATTTTTCCTATTTTTCGGAGATTCATTGAAAACTATCGATCTGATTGGGATATGAAAATATAGCGTTTGTCCGTTACATCATGATTTATCCTTTCATAAAGTTTCATCCCGATACACCAATTGTTATACCTTTTCACAAAAATTTATTGATATTTTATTAAATTTTAGTGAAAAGTTACAAAAATTTACGGTGCAGATTGTCATTCAGTATCAACGAGATAAATTTTCCGATTTTTTATTTCTTCTCCATTCCTCGTGCTCTCACAAGTAATAAACATTGAATGAGTACTAAAATTCCTCTGAATTCTCTCGCAGGTCGTCTCTTACCCGCGAATAAATATATTCACTTCTCCAGTTTCTCTTTATAAAAATGCAGAATCAAGTTTAACTTGCAATTTGAAAAGTCCATTGTCAGCCATTGAAGAGGGAATGAGAGATTAAACGAATGAAACGATCCGACAACAAGCATCAAAGGTCAATGGAGAGACATCGGTTTTCCTGATGATAGAGACTAGATATAAATCCATCTGTCTGCTAGTAGTCTGTCTAGCCAGCTAATAGAGGACATCTATCTTTCCTCTCTAGCCTGAGAACCGGTCGTCCTGGACTTTAGATCGGAATTTCACTAGTGAATTCCTCAACGTCCCCAGGACAGTTCTATCTTCTGGCGATATTGTGGTTCGTATTCGTGGATTCATTGCCCTCCTCTTCTCTTTATTTTAACGATCGTTGTTTATTTATTTATTTATTTATTCCATTCATTGCGTGTGCGTGTCACATACCCCGGGAGAAAAGGATTGTCCATTTACCTTCAATTTGCTTTCCAATCACTTCCGTGATCAAGTCCCCCTTTTATCTCGTTGAACATTAGTTTGCGGAAAGCTGCAATGTTAATTATTTGGACGTTTGTTTTGTTGGTTGAGGCCAACAACGTTGTTGGCAATGCGTTAGCAAACCAGTTTTTCACGTACACTCGTTGCTATATTGCTGGCAATAAAGATATTGTGAAAACAATTGCGTGATAAATTTACCTAATCGGTGTGGACACTCGTTAGCCAAATGACTATTATTCTCGTTAGTCAGTTTTATATTTAGAGTTGCAGAGTGTCGATGGTTTTAAACAATTTTCAATGTTTCTTCACTATTTTTGGGTTTAATTTACGATTTAGAGATGGAGAACTTCCAATGGGTCACAAATACCTCGGAAATAAATATTCGCACACTATTTTCTGGAAAATACTACGGGGTTGTGAAATCTTTGGCTGAGATTTCTGGTGCGTACTTCATTTTTAACAACTGACAGTTACACTGCAATTCGATGTAATTTCGTCACTGGGAGTTTGGAAACTCTAGAAGGTAAATTCTATTTTGATTATTCAGGGTAATGTATTTTTGACAATTTACAGATCATTAAAATTCGATTGTTATTCATCGAAATATCGATAATAGGAAAGAATAATAGGAAAGAATAGATCCCTCAACAAATTGACAGCTCTCGGCTGATGTCTGAAGTCTTCTCTCTGAATTTCCGGATAATAAACTTTAATAAAAATATTTATTGGGAAGAAAAAATAGGACTTCGAGTGTTCCTAGAATGCCGGGATTTATGCAGAGAGTGGAATGTTTTATTGAGCATAAATATTGTTGGAGAACATCTCTGGATGTGAAAGCTCATTACTCATGAGAAAGCTTGAGTGTTGAATATCCGATGTCTTTCCGACACCCGGCAGACGTGACTCGATGGGTAATTCGTGTAGAATGAACAGTAGGAATAGTGCAATGCTTGCAAAAATAGAAATGGCTGTTTGTATGAGCTAGAGTGTCTGGTATGCTCGTGGTTTAACTGCTGATATAACTATTTACGGAGGGATATGAGATACCCTGAGACTATGAGGGGACACCCTACGTGTAGGCGGCGACGTACGAGGTATTATTCTCCATGGGTAATTGAAAAAATTCGTGGACACCTACGTAATTGGATTTTATCAAGATAAAATTCAGCTTTCGCAGTTTAGTGACCAGTTATTGGGATTTGTTAAGCCAGAACTCAGATTTATTCTCACGGAGTGCATCATTTTTATCAAAATCAATTCAATCATTATTTTCATAATAAGTATTTAACAAGTAATTAACAAGTAATTAACAAGTAATTAACAATTGACCATAATTCATGGTAATTCATATAAATTTCAACTGCACAATGCAATTGTATAATTCGTACCGCAATTTTAACGAGTTGAGTATATCCGAATTTCTTGAATAAATAAATAAATTATATGGAAAAAAGGATGAGGGGGATGTGTTAATTAAAATTTGTTTTGTTTAAGTGGAGATGAGTGGATGAGCTAGGAGTGGAGATCTTGTGATCAGATAATTGTCTTTCTCCAAACAGATCACTCTTGTGTGTGGTATGACCCCTGGAGATGCCTCATTTGCTGTATGAATCACGAAGCAACTCCTTTTGATGTCTGTCGACTAAAATAGATATGGTCTAGCGTCTTAATTCCTCTGCATCTCCATCCCAGAGTTTTCGCATCAGTCTGGAATGCACATTCGCCACATACTCACCACAAGTGGTAGTGCAGAATAAAACCGAGTGGTCGGACTTCATTGGACAATAGCTCAACTTCTTTTCATTCTGTGTCAGCTTCAACCTCCCTTGAGCATAATTCTTGGCACAACCATCGAGGCTTTACGAAATTTTAAACTGCAGCTGCCTGCAACGTTCAGTCTCCTTAATGCACTGTCACATATTTTATTTCGTGACCGTCAAGTGCTCTAGCTAACTTGACGAGGAAAATAAAGTCTGTGAGAATTCTATTGAAGAATTTAATGATTTTATTTCAGGTGTTCTGGATGGCTTCGATTCGGAATTATATAAGTTGTCATTAGGATTTTTCAATTCAAGTTTTTTTCAATCGATTTTAATTCACTTTTTTTTTCTATTTAAATTTATTAGTTAATTGTTGGTTGTCTATTCTCTGTACAATATTCGGCAAAAAATTACAACGGTAGACGAATTTTGAATCTCTTGTCTTGAATTTATCGTTGAACCTTTAAAATTTTTTAGAGAAACCGCTAGATTTTCTATAAAATTTTTCCATAAGCATCCGGTTAATCTCCCGAGCACTTTAAACTGGTATCCAATCCCGGAAGGTCTGTATAAGTCTGACACGAAGATGAGATCTGTCACGTCAGAGAAATCTCTCTGACAGATCATCCTTTCTTTCCATTTCTCAAAAGCCTCTAAATTTGGTCCCTAAATTGGTCCCTGCACTTTGAAGCACTTTTTTGCGATAAAACTAATGGTCTCGGGTTAACCGGGGAGGGACGTCATAAATCTGTTGAGGCGATAATCGGAATTTCTTGGGAGCCAGACACCAATGCATTCACCTGAACTTGTCTCTTTTTTTTTTCTTCGTCTCCTGAGCCCTCGAGGTGCTTTCACGTTTAAATCGGAGAGTTAAAATGAAAACGTCAACTGCATCGTTTGTGATTATATGCATGGACACATAATTAAACGAGCTTTCCGCGTCACGTATCACCGGCTGTGGAGATGGAATGAGTTGTCTCCTGGTGGGTCCTCTTTCACGATGTGAAACCATCGTGCTAATACCATAAATCACCGAGTATTTTGGTATCGCGGAAGTGTTCTCCGGGTATTTATGTAACTCGGACTGTCTGGGTGCTCGGGGCAAGGGTGGAATCACCCAGAGGCACCCCAAAATCATCGACTTTTTGACAGAGATTTTTTAGATTTTTTATCTTCCTAATTACCAGCAACTGCTCTCTTGGGAAATTACACTTGAAGGTTCAACCTGTTAATTTCTTGAGTGTTCTGGTAATTTCCCATTTTCAACTCCGCATTTCCTGAATTTTCAGTTAATTAGAAATTCAATTGTAGTTTAAGCTGATTTTTTATGATAGGTATGAATGAAGCTGTCGTTGAGAGATCAATTATTATTTATTATGGAGAACTTGATTTTGTTGAATTTTTAAGATAAATGAAAAATTTAATGATTAATTTCAATTGAAATGGAATTTGAAATCAAATAATGGAAAATTCGGATAACTTTAGGAAAATATTATTCCTAGAACGTCAGCGAACCAAAAAAAAACAGCAAAGTGGAAGAACTCGAATTTTATTTCACGGCTACACGCACAGAAATATTTAGTAAAAATTACCGAACTTTCTGTTCGCTTACCGATTACGGAATCGACTTGAAAAATGTAAATGATGGTATCATAATTTTTCACTGATAATTCGAATAACAATGACGGAAAGCCACAGAAAAATTGTGAGTTTGAATAGAAATGACGTGAAAATTCCGTAAAATTTCCTACAATGACATTTCGCTCTGGAATTACAGAAAAGACACCTAATTTTTATCAAAAAATATTTCTTTCCGTGTATCAAATGTCTAATTCCAGAGAAGGAGAAATATAGTTCTGTGTTATTAACCGCTGTTTTCTCTCATAATATTGATATTTACGGAGCTGAACTTTTTACGGAATCTAATGGTGGGGATCCGGTGGATAAATATTCGGTTAATTCGGGATCAGACCTTGATGGGATGGGAATGAGTTAAAGGGAACATGGGAAAAATTCGGTGGGAAGTGGCGGTGAGTCGGGAAGTAATTCACGAGGGAAATTATACTTTTCATGTCGAGTGGGAAACGTTTCGGTGGTTTTAAAATTTTTTCTTCCCAATTACGTGCAATTATCATCGATAATTGATTATCTGTCACGTAAATTAGTTTTTGCGATGAATTTCGGTATTAATTCTCTCAAAAAACTTAAAATCAATAACTTGAAAGGTTAACTGGCAGAATAAACAATTCCTACCACGGATAATTAAATAAAAAAAACTAATTAAATTATTAAAAATCAAAATTGAATGATTATTGAATTGATGATGAATCGAATTATTTATTCTGGTGGTTGTAAATTGATTTCGAATTTTAGTAAAAATGATAATGATTCAATAATTAGTTTCGAACAATTGCAGTCGGCGATTATCCCCCGATTTTCCGGGTAATTAATTTTATGAAGTCCCCGGAAGCTCATAAAATAGTCGAAAGTCGAGGGTTAATTACCGTTGACGAATCGCGAGTAGGTCGTAAACACTTCCTATGGTACACCTCAGGATCAAACAGTTCCATTGAAATTCTCAACAAGAGCTCAAAACCATTGCCCATCGTCAACCACAACTCGATAATTGGTTCGTCGTAAATCGACCGTTATCACATCAAATATTTCCGGTCCCTGGGTGTCTTCATAAACTTCTTGCCCTACATACACACCAACCACTCACTTATATATCACCTATTTTTATCCTACTCGCCAATGAAATTTAGATTAATTATCATTTCACCCCTGCCAAATAAAATTCAGCAAATTGCTGTACCACTGAAAAAATCATTACCGATAGCGGAATTATTTTCACTTGATCAACAGTCATTGCTCTAAATTGAAAATCATTACTTCAATCCCAACTAATTGGTCAAACATAACGAGGGAATTAATTGCGCTGACCTATTTTTCAATTAATTCACTCCATGTCCAGTTGAAAAATCTTATAATTCTATTATAAAATCAATGGTAATTGTGAATATTAGCTCAATAATTATTCTAATTATAATTATAGCGTTGAAATTATTGCAATTTTAATAGCCATCATAATTCCATTCAATATTCACGCAATTATTTGATTTCCAAGGGATTGTTCAATAATAAATAAGAGATCTACTGCGCACCCCATGCGCCGAATTCGAATTTCGACTTCGGATTCGGAATAAGGAATTTAATTCAATAAGGAATCAGTCTTACGAGTTTCGACTCAGGCGCACTTCATTTACGTATCTCTGGTTTCATGATAAGGAATGTTAGTAATAGTTTGACAATGCAATGTAGAATAGAATAAATAAATACATACGAAGAAGGAGAGCTCAACTGGACGGTATTGTTTTGGTATGCAGGTGAAAATGTCTGATCCACAGCATCCGGTGTCATCTGAACATCTGTGAAGGATTACGCAGCGTGGAATGTATGTTACTGATGCATCTGCATAAAACTTCTGCACAGGTATGATTCGAGCTCTCGGCCATTGGCATTTGCCTTCTGTTAGTACTTTCCTTGCATGCTGTATGGCCGCTCTGGTCATGCCAGCTGGAGATGAAAAAATATTATTTTATGGGTGAGTAAATGCCTTCCTATCAAAGTAAATGAATTATTTTTATGCTGAGCAATGGGAAAGTTGACTTCGGGGTATGTGGACCAGTTTTTGAAGATATCCAAGTACTCGGGCATTTTTTTTTCATTGCTATTCCTCTCTGCATTTATCATCGAACATCACATCTTCTTTTTACCATTCATTAAAATGTAATTTTCATTTTAATTTGTTATTCATTGAACATTTTTTGCTATTTAAGGAATCCCACTTTTTTCAGGAGAATTTCAGAATTTATTGCCGGGCTTCGAGGTAACGAGACATTTAGTCATGAGATACAATTTAGTGATGAGATACAATTCAGTGATGATTATTAATAAAAAAAAACATTTTTTTGTGGGAATAGTTCTCAAGGATTGTAGGATTTCAAGTAAATCCTTGATTATGCTCGCATTAAAAATAACCAGTCTAGGTATTAAATTCCGATATTGCCATCTCATCGAGAAATTACTCACACACTGTACCCCATAATCAATGATTTGTCATTTCAACACAGTTCACAGCGAACCGACCGGATAGAAAACCCCATTGCAGCAATCGTCTTGCTGAACTTTTATTATATTCCCCGTGTCAAGGTGCAGAGATAATCGAGTACATTCATAATCCCGTGCTACCACACTTTATTGCAGATGCTGAACTTTATTAATTCACACTGTGAAATCAATTTGTTACTCAAGACAACTTGAATCGCTCAGGGCATTCACTAAAATCTCGTACGCCCACGTAATAACACTCGTTGTTCGAGCTTTCACCAATCATCTTCATTGAATTGTACTTATGAAACGGTGGGATTATATTTTTTTTTCATCGTGTGGATTACATGGCATTATGTACCAACCAAATTTTTCATTGAAGAACTTTCCTATTGCTCGAGGAAATGTGAAATCAAATTTTCAATTGCAAAAAGACATGACTTTCAGACAGAATCATTTATTCCTCGAAACTTTCGATCTAGCCTCTCAAATCTCAAAATCAACAATTATTTCCCTCAAGCCAATTCAATAATAATAATAGTAATAGTGGTGATGATAATGGGAATAATAGAATAATCAAATTCACTTTCATGTTTCATGTCATGTTTCGTCCACAATTTTTGGGAAATTGAAAATTTGTAGAAGAATAATAGAATAAATAGGATGAAGGATAAATAGTTGAATTGGATATTGTGATTTTTAGATTGGAGATATTTTTTCAATTGATCAGAATGGAGGCGTTACCGTTGTTCCTGTCCGGACGCGAACTGGTCAATTCCCTGGTCGCGTATTTCTGACCACTTCGCATCGGTCGTAATCCATTATGGGAATTCTCTTGCGAGATAGTCGTGTTATTATGGCCATCGTAAGGTTTCTGGATGTTAATGGTGATGTTGAGCCTTGAAGATGTTTTCACTGGCAGCGTGGGTGCTGATCCTATTGGATCTTGAGTTTTGTAGTCCGGCGCGGTTGTAATCAACGGATACTCCTCAACAGAAGGAAAATCACAGCTTTCATTAGAGACAAAATGTCAAGCATCAACTTACCAATCAGTTCAGTTAAAATAAAACCAAAAGCCCAAATAAAACATTCAATAATTGGAAATTAAATGAAAAAATTATTAAACTGCTGGGGTACAATTTGGAATGGAAGACTTTTCGTATCTGATAAATTCCAAGGGACTAGAAAAATTGTAGCTATCGGCCTTATTGTAATCATCATCGTTCATTATCATCCTTGTCATAATATTTGTCGCAGTGCATGAAGGTCTGAGATCTTGGAGAGAGCTACTGTATATTATAATCTTTTATTTGCACAAGACACATCCGCACGGGACATGTGTAGTCTTTCATAGTCCGCCGACAAATAGAAACAATTTCAATGTTACAGTCTCATATATTAAACTGAACCGGTCGAACCGTCTTATTGAACCAGAGCCACTTTTTCTGGACACTTGACATCAATTTTTCATCATTTTTTGCACTCATTTTGCTGCCACAGTGCCAGCTTGTTCGTCACACGTCTGTAAATCTACTGTTTTTTTATCATTTCTTTTTTTTTTTCAGGGAAAAAAACAATGTAACGAAGCGTTGGAACAGGAATAAAAAAAGTTTTATGCGGCCTTAACTACCGGCACTTGCGACTTTCCCCTGCATTATTTTAGCCGAGACCACCCAAAAACTGATTCACCCTGTATCATAGATGTAATTATCTCCTCCAATCGATAAAATCACGAAGTAAAAACAATTCATCAATTCATTCATTTATTTTATTCTAAAGAATTTCAGTAGAAAAAAATAATAAATGTCAATTGAAAAATAAATAATCCGTGAATATTCCCTCTGAATGACTCAAGACCAGCAGAATTTAAAATGAAATTCCCGAGTAACAAATGGATTTCTCATTGAAATATCCCCGTCTTCGCATAATTTCAAGAGCTGTCAAACTTGATGATTTCCCCTCATTAATTCCTCATCAGCAAATCGCATTAATGAAAGTCAAACAAACGAAATATCCGCATAAGTCATAGAGCCGCGGCAATCAATTACCGATTCCATTGAAAAATAATATGTTAAATGACTGAATTAACCAAACACCCACGCGTGCAGAATGCGGCGCGTTGAATGCGGGTGGAGTAACTATTAAATTAACATTCGTGCATCAGATATGGTATCCCCGATGCATCAGACAATGACTAGTACCGGGTTCTTGAGTCTCGAAGGCAATGCCGATTGCATCCTGGATAGTCTGTCAGCGATGAAGACCACCCACGGAGCACCCATAAACCATCCTCCAGTCCATGGGCACCTCTCGAGGAAGGCTAAATCACGAGGCAGTAAAAATTGCGAAAAACTCCCCCCGAGAATCTTAAATATTTCTTGAAAATTCCCGATTGCCCCCAGTTTGAATTCAATTTCAATCAAAATCCCTCACTAAATTGTTCACTGAAAAAATTTCAGAACACTGGATTATTCTTGCTAGTTAGTATTTGATTTTATTATTAATTTTGTTTGTTCTCGATTTTTTAGTTATTATTATTAATTGTGGGGGCGGTATTTCGAGAATTTTGAAAGAGATAAAGAGATATTGCACTTTATGCGAGTACCTCGGGCGTGTTTTAATGATATCACTCTGACTCATCACTGATATTTTTATATCGACGGATTTTTATCGAAAATCTGTGGTATCGAAGTTGCGCGGTGATAAGGAATGGAATCAAAAGACGTTGTACCTTACAGAGCGAAGGAATTCGACACGAGTAACAGAAGGCCTTGAGTTAGGAAAATTTTCAGGAAAATTTTCAACAATTTCCAAATTTGCAAAATCGAATTACCATAATAATAATAATAATTATTATTATTAAGTGACGAATTATGTTCTTGAATTTCGGATAATATCAAATCGGGAATTCCGTATTTGCAATTAATTTCTCCATTTAATTGTAGATTATCGATGAGAAAATTATTGAATTTACAATTTTGAAATAATACAGATTTTGCAAAAGAGTATATATATATATATATATATATGATTGATATATATATGATATATTGATATATTAATATATATATTAATATATCAATATATATATATATATATATATACTCTTTTGATATTCGATCAACTGCAAAATCTGTATTATTTCAAAATTGTAAATTCAAGAACTTTCTCATCGATAATCTACAATTAAATGGAGAAATTAATTGCAAATACGGAATACCCGATTTGATATTATCCGCAATTGAAGAACATAATTCGGCACTTCATTCTTTCATTATCTTCTTCCCAGTAAATCTAATAATTATCCCAATGTCACACTTTACGCTTTACAAAGTCCTACCTGACGAATAATTGTGCTGAATTTCTCACAACTCAGAAATTAAATTCGAGCGATAAAAAGGTGCAATGAAATTTCTGGAAGGCAATAAAGAATACAAAAAATCTGGTGACGATTGATTAATGTTGCAGTGAAAAAATAATTCCAGTGGATTATCCATGAAGCTCTACATCAAAGGGATTTTCTCAGCAACTTTTTAATCTTCATCTTTGTTCTGATTTTGATGAGAGCGAAGCCGGAGGGAACTAGAGAAAATGTAAATAAGTTAAATTGGTTGTATATGAAGAGGAGAACCCAGTGCGAAATATGCAGCTATTCCAAGAATGAAAATACCAGGCGCTGCCAGGCTGTCTGCTGCTAACACCCATGACACACAGTGGCACGTGCTTCTTCAGAAAGACCATTCCATCAAAGGAATTAATGTACAAAAAATTAATCACTAATAATAATTAGCAAACACCAAATAATCATGACTGCCTAAAAAAAAAATCAACTCATCCAATCAGGCATTTACCAGGAAAAACCTCTGGACAATGAAATTTTTTCTAAATGCCCTGGAGTTCTCAATGGATCTTCCCCCAAGAAAAATGGAATCACTGGAAAATTCAATCGACCAGACGACCCCACGAGAAATCTAATTGCCAACCATGTGCTGCCACGATTGGCAGTGTCAATCCAATAAAAAAACCCGAATCACAACTCTCGATTCCTTCAATCGCTCTGGATTATAAAACCGTCAGAAGAAATTGGAGGATAAAGAATGGGCTCGGTGATGTGCACCAGCTGAATATAAAGCATGGAAGTGCGTACTATCCCATTGAATGAGGTCATCTGTGTATTAAGTACGAACACTTGACAAATGTTATGACCATTAATAAAGAAAAGGTGCAGCGACACCATGACATCATCTCTTATTCACGCCTTTTAGAAGAATGACACTCGATGTGTCGAACACTCCTTAGAAAGTTCCGAGGGATAACAAGTGTTCAAATAATTTCACTTTTTACCGACAATTACCCTCCACCCCAGACATTTGCGCATTATAATTGTTCGTCATTTAAATTCCTAAATGATAACATGATATTTCATTTAGAGGCTGTCGAGATCGTCATGATTTCATGATTCTTATTCGAAGATCATTGCTCTTTGGGGCTTCCTGTTGTTGTCATGAAGTCGTTAAATTTTTATTGCAAATCTTTTGTGGCATCTTTTGTGGAATCTTTTGTGGAATCACAATTAATAATTCAGATATGTCTCTCTTCCATCTTTGTGTCTTCATGAATGATTCATTATTACCCACGCAGTCTCCTTTGGGGAAGGCGTTTTGTTGCAGGATACGTCGGGGATACCGTTATCGTCGTCGTTTTTCAGTAATTACCTTGGGAAAAACGTGTGTTAAGATGAGGGGAGGTGGTTCGAGTACTTGAATAGCAGATTGCACTGTCTGGGTGCTGAAATGAATTATGAATTTCGAAGGGATTGTCTCGGTGGGACTGGAGAAAAGGGAGAGTCTTCCCAAAATTTAACAAAAAATCCAAGAAAATCAATCGCCATTACAAATTTAAAATTATTATTCTGAATTATCCCCAGATAATCGATTACTTCTAGAGAAAAATATCGAGACAATTCCCGCCGGGAAATCAATTTTTTTGTATTACATGATGACGAATTATTAATTTAAGATAAATTATTCTTCGGCGTACATTTTTTTTATAATCTTCATTTTATATTTTGAAACCGAAATTTCGGTGTTGCCGTTGATTAGTCTTAATCTCTAATTGTTCAATTGAATTTTTCTACGAGTCGTTCAGTAATTTTGAGTATTTTCGTGTGAACATTCGAATTAATCCCGTCAATTAAATGGAAATAGCAATCAGACACTTCGCCGCGACGCTAGTGTCGCCGAGATTCATTCTAATGAAGGTATTAATATTCTACCGGTTCTGGGATGTTAATGGATATTTATGGGTTTTTCAATTTAATGTGACGCGCCGGTGGTTAACACACACCCACGACGAGAATTCCTGATATGTATTTAATAATTTACTGCCCAGAGAACAAAGAAGACAATATTTCAAATCTTGTCTGACCTTAGGGGCCAATGTTACATATTGTAATTTCAAGGGGTTCCGCGCGTTTTTATATCCCTCAAACGTTTGTCCCATCACGTACGGAATTCGTGACTCAAATTCACTCTCAGATCCCCAAAAAACCCCGAAATTCGCCGCTGAATGAAAGACAAACAACTTCGATAATCCGCCAGTAGTAAATATTATCACGTCTTTCTTCTGGATAAATAACCCCGAAATCCGCGAATTCTCCAGGTTTTTCCCTCAACTGATGAGTCAGAATGGAATATAATCGAGTAAAATGCAAAGATTTTGTTCAACGCGACGAGTCAGTGAAAATCGATCTACATTTAACAAATGCCTAGATATTCTGAGAACCAGATCTTAATAAGAAATGACTCATTTAGTACTATCGGGGCATTAAATTGACAAGAAAACATCTTTATCACTCGTCAGCGCTCAATCATTAATTTCGCGGATCTTCAAAATGTATCCAGAAAATTAATCCATCCATAAATTAATAATTTTTGAATGACAAAATTTTCTGAAATTTCCTGGGAATTGAGAGGTAAAAAACTAAAAATTTTCCGAACTCAGTCCTGATTGGTGCTCACGAATTGCCAAAACAGAAAGAGTGCAAAAGCTGGAAAAATCAATGTCAAATAATTTCCGTGATCTTTTTGCCAAGTGCCATCAAAGAGTCTCAGCAATCTAGCCCCGAGTGACTTGACCTCGTCGTACGTCGGGTCACCGGCGCGACTATCACCCAGAGGCCACGGTGTCGCCCCTCCAACAAGACCAACCAAACAAAACGAGAAAAAACAAAAAGCCAGAGAAAAACCAAAAAAACGCCTGATCCCACAACCCCTCAACCTACCACCTGGATAACGGTACTCCTGCTGAGTTCACCTGCCTCTTCCTCGTCCACGTATCCCTCGACATCGTCATACGCATCACCGTAATCAGAATCAGAACTCTTCAATTCAGGTATATTCCCTTTCTTCGTTTCTTGCCCTTTCCGCTCCTCACTTACCTCTTGCTTCGTTTTCTCCTTCAACACCACAGGGAAATTAGTCCCATTGAACATGAAATTCCCATAAACATCCTGCGTGAGAAACATCTCAATTCCCTGCTGAGTCTTCGTGTTCTTTCGTTTAGTGGAAATCCTATTATCATTGCGATCCTCCTCCTGAGTGAGTCTCTTGATGATTTCCTCATAAGTCATGTACGGTGGTTTTTCCTCATCATCGCTGATATCCTCGTAGTAATCATCATTGCTTCCCTCCAACTTGTCAATCGTGATATCAGCAAGACCATATTGCTCGAGCTCCTTCCATATGTCCTCATCATCATCGTCCTTTATGCTCTCCTTCAGATCATCGCTCCTCCACTTTCTCTCCGAGGTCTTCCCTCTGCCATACCCATCATCACCGTCCATGTCATCATCATCGTCGTAGTTCTTGTGCCAAGACTTCCTTCGAGACCATGTCTTGGGAGTGCCCAGCTTCCTGTTACCATTGCTCCACGAGTTTCTCGAGCTCGTGGATAGCGGATGCTCATGGTGGGAATGATGATGATGATGACGATGATGGCCTCGGGCTGTCGGCTTCACACCCGATGATACGCGAGTCCTCGAGCGATGATGATCACTGTTGTATTTCAAGTTCAGGCGTGTCCTCTGATCCCAGCCGATATCGAACCAGTGACTCCTCTGGTGACGGTGATCCGGCCTGTCGTTATCATCGTCATCCTCATCCTCATCATCGTCATCGTCATCGTATTCGTTTACTGGTATTGGCTTCTTGGGGTCCTTTTCATCCTTCTGCATCGCTTCGTACGGCTGGAAGTCTTTATTGTCGTCTTTGTCATCGTCAGGGGTCAAGTGCTTTTGCATTTTCAGGGGGTGACGGATCGGCTGCTCCTGGTGGTGGTGCCTGGGGCTGTGCCTAATTGATACTATTTTCGCACCGCGATGCCGCTCCTCTGTAAGCAACGGTCCGGCTAGCGTCAGCAGTATCAGCGCGATTTGAAGAACGGTGTTCATCTCGATTTTAGGGGACGATTACATTATAACGGACGGGGGGTCTTCACCTCGGTTTTTGCACATCCCCGCGTGACGTTACAGGGGGCGCATTATTTTTTCTTTCTTCGGGTATTTTTTAACACTCTAGAAACACTTCGGGGAAGATGCACTCTAGATGCACATGTCGGACACTTTTGGCAGAGCCCCGCGTGTCCTCGATTTTCAACGCGATTTTTTTTTTAATTACCGATTTGATGGGATTGAACGCGATGTAATTGGAGTGGATAATTGGAAGACGATTCTTTTATTTTTTTTATCTTCTCGCTGGGTTGGGTATTTTGTCGCGGGATTTTTTGCGAGTTTGACAGGTTTTGCCGGGGTTGTACACCCAATCGTATCGCGTACCGAATGTCGCGGACGACTGAGTCTGCGTCGACCTGCCGGCGAGGAGAACGCGAAACCCAAAGCGCATGCGTCATGCAGTCGAATCACCCCCGCCACTTCCCCAGCGGTTGTTCCAATCCACAATTGGGATTGGTGCAACAGTCAGATAATAAACAATAATCCATGGAAAAAAAAAATTTTCCATCTTCATCACTTTATCATTTTTTTTAAATCCACAAAGAATATTGAAGACGCGGGAATTATTCAAAGTGAATTCTTCCAATCGATTAGACAAAATTAGAAGATTCAAGATTCACATCCAGAGGAGAAGTTCAAGTGGAACATAAAATATTTTCTCTCAAAAGACAGAAAAGTAAGAGTATCTCGAAAAATTTCAACGAATTAACCAATCGATTTGAATTTACCTCTACACGGAGAAAAATATTTAGTTAAAATTACAGGACGTTCAGGTTGATTATTAATTAAGGAAACAGCTCGAAAAATTCAAGTGACGTTATCGTTTATTTTTCACAAATAATTCAGATAAAACATTCTGAAATACCGCGAAACAATGACTGTAGATAAAAAATACATGACAATACCGTAAATTTGACAATCACATTTCGCTCCGGAATTTATTTATTTATTCATTTAATAAACATTCCTCGGTGTCCACTGATTCAGATAATGAGAAATCGCATTAAGATTTTTACGAAGACGTCCAGGAATTTGAAATTCCGAAAGAAAAGTAAATAAATGGATAATAAATGGAGAATTCTATCACGGTTGAAGCGGTTAGCTCTTTCGAATAGGAATAAATCACTCGAGATAAATTGATGATAAACAGGTGGGATAATTTCGCATGTGCACTTGACAAATTGCTCATTGATCGCAGTCGACTGAGAGGCAGTGACTTGGATTCATTGAGCCAAAGAACGGAGCTGTTTCATTCAGTGATTCGCCTCACGATTGTAACGAGGAAGAAGAGAAAAAGCGAATTCAGCAAAAGCACCCGAAAAAGAGATACGATCGCTCGAGAATCTACAACAGCCAGTGTTATATACCACTTGTTTCGCGAAACTGGTTTAACCCACGGGAATCACCGTGTGTCGCCGGCTAGTTTTTGCCGACTTTAGCCTGCGGCATCATCTCAAAGTAAATAAACATGCACTGTCTCTCCGGATGTCCAATGGGCGACTCACTCATTATGTTTAACCATTTAATCGCACCAAAAAGAAAGGTTCAATCAAGAAAGAATTTAATGATAGGGTCGAAAATCGCTGAGGCTTATGTCATCCTGAAATTTCACAGCGTTGCGAATATTTTTTCGAAGGTCTAGGGCGTAAAAAGTAACTCGTCATATTTTTCTTCTGCACTGAGAAAAAAAATTATTTTTGCCAAGAATATTTTCTTCCCACAAGTAAATCTGGCGATCACTGTGTAAATACTCCCATAAGACTTACTAATGCCAAATATATTTTCTTGTGGTTAGTAAATATTCTTGGGTAAAGAAAATTTTTTCTCGGTGTGGTATTTTCCATTCTAACGAGCTCAACCCTAAGCATTTGTCCAAATTAAATTCTACTACGATAATAATAACAATTATTATTATTATATTCATTATTAGTTCATTATAATTATATATTATTTAACTTATGCAGATCGAATTCGAGCAATGAGATTCTGTTCCAAGTCTTCGATACATCCGCCTCGATTGTCAATCGATGTCAATTGCCTGAAATTATTCAAGTCTATTATAGGGCTCTTCAGGATTTAGATATAAATATTTCATACGCATAATGAAAGCGGACGGTTAATTAAAAAAATCCGTCTATCGGAACTGCGTAATGTGGCACTTAGTAAGGTGATCCACGAATTTTCAAGATAAATAAATCAACGCACCTGTCGCGCATAATTTTGCAAGGAATTCCTCTCGCAGTATCTGCAGCGAAAGCTGTCACTTAATGTTGCATAATAAATGAATGATGATGATTTTTATGACATTAACCAATGCTCATTCAGCGTCCAGTAATAAGAATCTTTATTCGTCTCTACATGGTTGGTAAATGATGGATATTACACAAAAAATATATTCAACGGGGTGTCGCTTAATGAGTGCGTCGGTGTGATAAAAATTTCAGTGAGTGCTGCATCAGTGATTTCAGTGGGTCTGAGTGCCAGCTAACGAAGCACAATCAGGTCTTTATCAGATTGAGGTATATCAGTGACTTTTTTATTCCTGGAATGTCGACTGCGGCCTGTTGCGTATGCAGTGTCATTGATCGTCAGACCTCGCATTCTGATTTCTTTTTTTTTTGCACTTATGAACTCTTGTAAATGACCTCGCTGGGTCATTTTTCCAGGACTCCAGTTCAGAGCGAAAGGATAAAGCGAAAATCACGGGATCTATATTAAAAATCATCCATTTTCCTTATTCAGTACGAGTAACTACTGAATGAGAAAAATTGAAAGATTTCTCCCATCGCCAATTGCTGAAGTACAATTTTTATTATAAAATTGTCATTTTTACTGCAATCGGAGGCAATTGTGATATCGATTTTTCGCTCACCTGTTGATTTAATTTAGTCTGTATTTATAGTATTTATATATTCTCTAGTTATTTTTAAAAACTCGGAAGAAAAACTTAAGATTAATTATGTGAGAAGAATACTATCCGGACTAAGACGAAATAAATCCTGAAGGATTTGAATACTAACAAAGGAAATGCATATTTGACTGACCTGTCATTTTTCGTTTTGAATAAAAAAAAATGTGAAGCTTCGAGTTTCAAAATAAAATCATGAGAATGTTTATAAAAATCATGTAGGAATGACCGAAGTCTCTCAAAATTTTAAGCGAGATTAGAGAGTCCAAATGTGGAGATGATGACTGAAAAAATCATGAGAGTCGCAGAGGCGAGATTTGAAGTTGCTGAAGAGCCGAGATTCAAGTCCTTCCAGACGATATCTGGCACATCTACGTAGGTCTTGTCGACACCAACGGTTTTTATGAATGTTGACAGATTTTTACGATCGACAAAGTCCCCGACAGCAGACCAAACGGTCAGGGTTGACCGGTAATTCTTGGTGTTCTTGATGAGTTCTGTCATAATGGTAATGTCACTCGCTGCCAGAGCTGCTCTCACGGGATAGGTTACCGTCTGGTTAATCTTGTTCTTTGCTAATGTTTCCAACATGTTCTGAATCTGCTCTTTCGTGTAACTGCCATTGTAACGTTCTGACATCACGCCATACCTATTCATTCAATTTCAATCATTAAAATTCAGATATCAATACAAAAATATAAATTTCATTTACAGTTCCCCCGCGATTTTCCTTGGAATTCTACTGGGAAATTACTACTTGGGCCATTGCCAATCTTTCATTATTAGAAAGCGAAAGTCAGATTTTGATTTCTCTAATCGAAAATTACAAATGAAGAGATTTATAAAAAAAATTATCAGTGAAGTGATAATAGAAATGCTTTCTGTGTAATTTCTATCGGTTGTTGTAATTATAGGTCTTGGAAATTAATGATAATGAAGTTGTTACTGACTGTGTCTTCCAACCGACTGAGAGAATGCACTCGGGGAAGTTCTGCTTCGCTCCTTGTAGAAATTGATCAGCATCTACCGGTTTATCGTCCCCAGAAAATGGTCCGGGCAAGATATCGGCATTGAGCATCACCGGTACCACCATCTGAATAAAATTCATAAAGTAGCACGAGACGCTCCAAAATCTCCATTAAAAAATTATTTTCATACCCCGGAACAATTCCAGAGAGTTCTCATTAAAATTCTATTTTTTTTAATAAACCTTTTGGTTAAAATAGCATTTTAATATAAATAAAATCATTCGATGTAAATGCTACATAATTTTTCCAAAAAATTCCTCCGATTTCAGAATTAATTCTACCCACTTTTTCACGATTGCTTTTCAGAATGGGAAGACTCGCATTGAATGCCTCGATAGTTTTAAAGTCCAGCTTGATGCCGCGGGTGGATTTTTTCAGAGTTGCATTGAGAAAATCAGCCAGTGATAAATCACTTTCGTTGGCTGGCGGATGTGCCATGATTGGGACAGTGACGTTAGAATTTCCAGGCACAAAACCCAGTGAGATATCAGCCTCTATCATCATTATTTTATCTGCAACATGAACATTAATTACCACAACAATAAGAACTGATCCTAAAATTCCCCAAAAAATCATTTCCTTGATTGCCCCAGAATAAAAAAAAAAAATGCTCAACACATCGAATGCAAAGATATTCTCCTAAATTCCCACAGCAAAGTCCATTTTTGCTACAACTAATTAAGAAATTCCTCGAAAATTAATTCTCCTATTCCCCCAGAATAAAAATAAAAAACTCTCAACCCATCGAATGCGTAACTATTCCACGGAATTCCAACTGCAATTTCCATTTTCGCACATAAACCGATAAATTGAATTAGCGCGTTATGTCGCAGGTTAATGCGACGATAAATAATGAACTTACCATCAGCGAGTGCATCAGCAAGTTCTTTTTTACTGTTGACCGCGTGTGCCCACGTGATTTTTGTGATATTTCCCTTGATCTTATCAGCAAAAAAATCCCTCGGATCGGGAGATAGTGCGGCCATAGTACCTATGGATATCAAAAATTATATAACAACAGTTGCTTCATTGACTTCACCTACTAAATGAGAAATTATTTTTAATGGCGTGCGTTTAACACAAGGACTTTTGTTATCGGACAAGCGGTTCAACTAGTGTCGGCATATGCGCGTATGCGTATTGGTAACACTTTTTCGAGACCAGTTTGTACATATGTACATTGTCGGAAGGTCTCCGACGCGGTAAGAATACGAAGAAACCTCTGACATAAAAAAATACTGGCGGTTTTTTCATTTTTTTTTTTCATCGCACGATACAATGGTGCAGTGTCCACAACTCAGCGAAAGTTCTTTGTCCTTTGTACTTTTTTTTTTTTTAGAAATTTCTTCAATTAATCGACAAGATTAAGAGATGAATCATCGTGAATCATGAGGGAACAATTAAAATCTTCCGTAATTGAAACCTCTAGTCGTTATCAGACGGAATTTTTTTTTCGCGATTCAAATCATGAGGCGGATTAGTCGGTTGAGTATTCGTGTGAGGGTATTGTTTAGGACATATAATGCGAAAAATTGTAATTGCAAATTGCATAACTGATTGTATTTCGACGTGAGATGCAGTCTTATTCGGAAAACCCGGGGTTTTCTAATCAGTAAAATAGAAAAGATAAGACTTCATGGAAAATCCAATTTCGAGTAAACATGTAACATCTGCATACTTCTGAAATAATCGCTGGCATGAGTCACCGTAGGACAAGTTATCGATATTGCCAGCTTGAAAAGTGTTTGAAATATTTTTCTAGAAATAATGAATTCGTAAAAATAACAGCCGAATCGACAATGAAATGACAAAATTTACCGAATATCCAATTACTTGGGAGAGAAATCTGCAACGTCCGCATGAAAAATAATGCACGTTCAAACTACTGATAAATCATTATTTCAGCCTTCCCATTTTTTCCAACACTTTTCCAGAAATATCTAGTAAAATGTAAAATAATTTTTTCAAAAATATATTTTCTCTCATAATGTCCAATTGCCTGAGAAAAACTCAACAAATTCTATTGATATTCGAACTAAATGATGATTTAAAGGAAAATCTGGATTTTTCTTTCCTGGTTATTTTGCCGGAAGTGACCTGCGCCTCACGAGCCATATGTTAACACATTTTCAATATCTCTGAATGATTGCTGGTGATAATGATAGCAGATAGTGTCTTAATCCTCATCTTAGATTGAGATGTGCGTCACAATTGTTGAATGATGAAAAATAATTCTTAATACGATTAGAAACTTACAGGTGATACTGGCGATGAGGAAAACAGGTAAGACTGAGCTGAATGCCATGGCCATAAAATCACAGAGAACTTTTATATTTCACGTCGTTGAACCGTTTAACACGAGCGTCACGAAGCGACTGCCTTTCCGTCTGGACATATAGACACCAACCAGCAAAAAAAAGTTGCTGTTTATATCGCAATGAGGGGCCGAGGGACACCTCAGTAAATACACCCAGTAATCGACACATGTTATTTACATCACGAGACATTTTCATTAGTCATAAATCCGTTTAAAATCTTCGATAATAATAGTTGGAACTCAAATTTTTCAATTGGTATTTTTCACAGTAATTTTCCCTTTTAAAAATTAGGATAAATGATAAATAAGTGCTAATTTTCACAACTCCTTAATTGTTAATAAAAATTAAAGGCTCACCCATACATGAATATTCATAGAATAAATGTTTCGGATGGAAACGTATTGCCACGTTTCACCGGAAATCAGAAGGATTAGAAGATATCGACACAGTTTGACTATAAAAATATTAAACATTTATTAAAACTTGCTCTCAAAATTCATACGATCCTGCAGATACACTTTCCCATCATCTACATGTCAATATATAATTCTACAATGCATAAAATACAACAAGTGAATTAATGTGTAGTTGAACCTTGGAATGGCAAAAATGAGTACATAAAATTCATAGTAAATAATGTATAGGCACTCGAAGCTCCATTACTATCGTCACGACAGTATGACACTAATAAAATATAAACAAAGGTCAATTATTTTCATTAATTACGGGCAGTGTGTAGGTATGTAAAAAAATATCATACCATCGAGACAATCACTTGAATCGTCTCATTAATTTCAACACGTGATCACTCTAATGTCATTAGTCTAGAAATCAATTCACGATTAACTCAACAGGTTCAATTAATATCCAATTTCGTTAGTCTAGAATGTGATTTATCGAATATAAAATTTTTCATTACATTAATTATGATAGATATATACGTATTTTTGGTATGATCCTTCCTGAGTCAATGGATTAATTGCAATTTTGGAGTGAAATAGTGAGAACAGGGTGCCAACTCATTCCCTGATTCATCATTTTACTGGAGCATTCATCTGGCATGATCATTATCTACATTCTCTTCGTCTCTCTTTAATTATGAGAAAATGATTTGTCTATTCTAAGGCACCTGATCGGAGGAAATGAAGTTGATAATATCATGGACCCTGTACCATTGTAGGACGAATCTGACTTGTTTATTCTGTTCTATCACACTCTTGTTGTGAGCAAAGTTTGATGATTACCTCGGGGATTAATTTAGGGTTGGGTATAATTGACGATCGGTTCTCTCGTTGTCGTCGGGAGTCGTTGTTGTGTCCATGTAAACATGTTCGGATCTCTTCTCCTTGCTGTCATTATTTGACACCCAACCGTGTCTTTTCAATTTTGAGTTCTGGAAGAATTGATTAATACATTTTAAGGATGCTCTTTACCCATCTATAGTCAAAATTAACGTTCTTTCAGTTTTTAACAAATTATCGATGGAATTGATGCAAAAAAATATAATGTTCTTGCGTTTTGTCATTATTTAATGGCTCACGAAGGTTTGTGTTTTTTCCACTTTTTAAAAGTTTAGAAAGAACGCAGAAAAATGTTCGCACCACCTTGAAACTTCGTGAGTCATTAAATAATGATAAAACGCAAAAACATTATATTTTTTTATATCAATTCCATCGATAATTTGCCAAAAAAAATATAAAACATAAATTTTTGCAATAGATGGGTCTAGGACACCCTTTAGACGTAAAGTGAGGAGTTTGAATAAATTATGATTACGTAGTTGTGAGAACGGAAAAGATAAATATTTTGGCGTGTGCAATAGTATTTTTCAGTGAAATAAGTGCAGTATGGAATAAATAATAATTTACCGTAAATGGCTGTGAGATGGTCTTTTTTTATGGTAGAATGACTGCCAGATTTTCATTCTTTCATTCAATTGTCACGGAGTTTCCTGTGTGATTGAGGATGAAATGGCAATTCATGAATATATGAGGTGATAAGATATTGAAAACATGATAATGTTTGTAAGGTAATACAAACGACCATATGATCAATTCGTGTGGACGATAAGGGAATGATTGATAGAAATTTTTTCAATGGTTATTTTATTCTCAATTTCCTCCACTGATATTTCTTCTATAGGCAGCAAAAAAAAATACTTCTTCATGTTTCTTTAGATTAATCAAATAAGCATAAAATATCAGTAGAGTAAATTGCAAAATAGCGAATGTAGATATTTTTCTATATAAAATGGAATTCTTGATTTTTTTTACACTTACTTTGGGATGACTGCGTCCCTTTTGCGAATATTGAATTACGGCGAGTATTAGTAGAACTATTCCCCCGACAATTGCTACTATTATACTTGAATATAATCCTATACTAGGAACTAGAAGAAGCATCCGTAAAGATGATGCTAGATCCTCAGTCGTCCCTGCCCTCATTGAGAACCAGAAGCAGGGAAAATAAATCTTCGGAACGTCCCTGAAGAGTCTAAATCGATAATGAAAATTGAAAAAACTTAATCATTCGCAAAAAGAAACATCAAATGATCACAAAAATGACGATTAACACTTACGTCACGAAGTCATATGGCTGCAGTAAAATATTCACTTGAAGTCTAGCTGCTACATCAATTGGAACGCCAGTATTCTGCAACAAAAAGTGTTCCAGGTCACAAATGATCATTTTCCCTTTTTCAATCCCTCAATTAAAAAAATGTCATCATTAGTTTCTAAATAGACTCATCCAGTCACGAGATCTATATTATTCATTAAATCTCAAAATCCAACGAAACTATCTGTGAGGTAAATTAGGACGGTAGGGATTGTATTAATGTCATAATACACACCGGTTCCAAGAGGTAATAAAAACTGTGGTCTTTCTCATTAGGATTGAGACCATTGACTTGCTCCCTCAGGATGGGATCAGCCTTATGGAAATGTGGTAGACTAATGAAACCAGGAGCACCATATCTACACGCAGTGATGTTGATGACTCCCACGGGACTGCACTCCCCATTGCAGTAGCATTTCCCCATATCGACGACATCAGGATCCGAATATCCAGCGGCACTTTTTTTGGTCGAGTAGTCAGCGTGGAAGAAGTCTTCAGTAGTTGTTGTTCTCTCGAAATACTTGGCGGCACTGTGAGGGTATCTCCTGAAAGAGCTGTTGCCAAGGCTTTTCTCCCCAAGTTCGTATTTATAACCTGTGATCCCATGGTGCGTCGCTTTTCCCACGTATTCATAGATCATTGGTCTGAAAAATTACTTCGTTATCTTTCTACCCTTTCGTTAATGTTTTAATTATCTTAAGTACTTCCGTTCACACCTGCACAAATCAGCAGCGAAAGCTGTGATATCATCCGTGTCCCTGCCAGGTGGAAAAAATTCCCCGGCACTTCCCTCCACAACATTGCAAGGACTCTTGTAATAATCAGTTACATCCGTATAATTCCATTTTTTCATAATACCAAGATTTGCGATATCATCTTCTCCAGTCGCCACATTGTAATGCCCATCGAAGAATGTCGATCCATTTCTCTGTTAATGAATTATTTAAACTTGTTATTTAATCAGCATCAAATATCTTCTGATTGTCATCAATCGTTATTCAATTTCCCTTCGGTATCAATTAATCAATTATCCTCCCGACAAACGACAATTACCAAAAATAGCACTAGATTATTGAACATCTGCAAGAACTTCAACTCGTCGAGAAATCCCATCCTCCCGATCTCCAAGTTTGCAATTTACGATCAATTTATTCATTCGTCAAACGCAATTTCCACCAGAACATCTGAGTCATCACAATGCTCACGGAAAAATATGACAACACATAATTCCCTGACATTAAAAGTCTCAGTTAAAAGTGTTACATAATCATGGGGATAACATTCAATGCAGTGGATACAGAGCGAATGCTGCAAAACAGTCCAGAATTTATAGAACTCACTAAATAAAACCAGCCGAATCTGTCGTAAGCCGGGATGTGCATGTCTTCTGTGTCCATTGCCAGTTTCCCCAAATCAATGAGTTGATCCTTGAATCCAGTGAACATCATCTCGTCCACGGTTTTCACAATGTGAATCGAGGACACCTGACCCAAGATTATAGAAACTGTACTCTGATAAAACTCGTCCCAATACCGCACTTTATTCGCAGCTGCCTACAATAATAAATTAATTAAATCCAAAGTATCTGATCAAATTTTGTCGAATCCTAGAGAGTTAATCAGTTCAAACAAAATTACCACAGCGAGAACATTCAATTGGACCAAAGTGTCATTGAGGGTTCCATTGCTCTTATGTGGATCGAAGTACCAGTATTTCCTCACAAAATAGCTGACAGTACCGTTCTCCGGGTGAAACGTGATGTTGACTTTTTCCGTTTTATGACTGCAACGGAATAATGATACAATAAATAACAACTTTAAACAGTTGGCAATTAATCCAGTGGACAATTAATAGAATAAAAAAGCATTTGCTACAGAATTAGATCTCGCGAAAGTCAACGGGAATTCTCGTCAGCGGCATGAGATCACTGAAGGTCCAATTGGCTCCGAGAAAGTAATCAATTACACAATTATTTAATAGCCAGTCTCATTTGTCCGCCCACGATAATAATTCGCCGAAAGGAGAGGAGAAGAACTGCTCATTAGGCAGTCAATACCTTGGGGTTAAACTACTGTTACCCTTCCTGATAAATCAATCGTTTAAGCGCACGAGTTTGGTCTCTCGGCAGATACCAGCTGACATGATTACCACAAGGTCACACCCAATGATCATTTGATAACACTCACATGAATGTGTAAGGGCCCACTTCAACGAGATTTGGTTTTTTTCCAGGTATCTTGAGCTCCTCTGGATTTGTCCAGTTGAAGAAGTAGAACTCCATGTTGAGTGGAATTTTGTCGCCCGTTGATCTCCACAGGTCCAACACTCGAGATGTGGGCGTGATTGGTAGCTCCTGAAATGATTTTTCAATTGGTAAGTTAATCGGAGTGATTTCCACTCAAACAAAATGACTTGATGAAGATTTCATCGGCAGGCATCTCTGATTGGTCGTAACTAATCAACGGCTAATTCAATTAAAAAACAACGAGGAGGAATATTATTGCGGTTAATGGAGTTATCAAGGCAGATTATTTTTATCCTGATGTCGGAATTAGATGGAAGTCACGCTGGGGCTCATCAGGGAGATCATGCAACTGGAGAATCAGATGGTATTGCCAATTTTCTGATCTTCAATTAAAAATATAAAATCAAAGAAATAGAAGGTGAATGCAAAAAATTAAGTACATATTTACCAATCATCTTAGGAAATAGGGAAATGGGGGAAATGTCTTGGAGAAATACTGGAGGCAGTGGATACCTGACTGAGGATGTGGTTGAAGAGCACCGGCCAGAGGAACATAGCAGCTACTCCAAGGACTAGAAGTGTCATTCCAATGACAGCCAGAATGACTGTTCTGTTGGTCCAAGGTCTCATGGTGAAGGATGTAGACTTATCCGATTGAATGAATGGACAACTTCAACTCGGTTATTCACACTTTGACGACCCACAACGTCACCGGTCCCTTCTCGCCGCTCCGTCTTGTCATCAATGTGCTGAAATACCGAGATAAGAGATATCTAATCTCACGAAACAATATGCACGTGTGGCGAATTGAGTTGTTGAAGAGGGATCCATGGATTTGGATTTTGATCCGATGGCTTTATCGTCATTCAGAGGATCTGATTAGATTCGAATGGTCAATTGGAATTACACAAAAATACCTAATAATTTCCAACGAATTATCGATTCAGAATAATTGAAGGATTGCTTTAGCATCAGGGATTTATGTAATTTGTGATGTTTATTGGAGTTTTTTTTATGGAATTCGAGAGTTAATTAATGATACATAAGTGATAATTGAATAATTGGCATTTAGAGGATTGATTTGGAGTCAAGATCAGGGAATTTCTTCTCGTATTTAACACTAGAGTATTGAGTCATCGTTGGGGCTTTAATGCTACTCATTCATTGGCGAAACTTCTCACGACTTTTTCATGGTCCATTGAATTCTTTGTTGTTAGATTCACTGTCATGAACTCCGGTTACAGCGGACGTTAGTCTAATCTCTACAACAAACCCCAACGATTATTCTATTTGTGAGAGTTTACAATCATATCTCTGAAGTAACGGTCAGCGTGAAGTTCTGCTTCTTCATATCTCGAGTTGTGATAAGAGAGAAAATTCCAATTTGTCTTGAGCAACGGGAAAAACAAATTATACAAAAAAATATGGCATCAGCCGATGGTTTTTTGAATTGTACAATTATTATTCCGTTAGATAATTTATTATCGTTCGATTAATAAAAATGCGTCATGATTTATTGGATCTAGAATGGTCTTTTCTAGCGTCATTAAATTTTTTCCCTCCGCAAAGTTTAGCCGGCAATAAATCGCGGGAAGGAACTGAATTATTCAAAATTTTCCTTTCGTCGGGATAAAAAAATGATGATAAGTCATATATTGTATAATTGCACTGATTAGATCATTTTTGTAATTGAGAGAGCGACAGAGATGGGAATTTTCATCACCAATTCTACGGAAATGTAATGGTTATGTTTCCCGTCATTTTTATAAATAATTAGCGGAGTAATCACTTCAGAATTCAATCCGTCGATGTTTTTTTCAATCAGTATTTTTAATCTCGCGATAATACGCAAGAAAATGGAATAGCAAATGGAGATTACGATAAGTCATTAGGTATTTAATAATCGAGCAGTCAAAAAAAAACACTTCAAGGTCATCGTAAGTTACGATTCGTAACGTATACTCTCGAATTTCTTACACTTCATGAATTATTCATTGTTTTCAAGTATTACAGAAGCCGTCAACATGCGCAACAAAGCTGTCCTCGATAATCCATGGAATTACGTATTAAAAAAATGGTAACTAGTAATATAATAATGAAAAACCCTGAAAATTTTATTAGAATTCTATTGAAATTTTAATCTATTTCCTGATTTATTTGGGTCATGGAAGGCCAGGGGAATTTTTACTGGGTCAGATTTTTCCTGATATTTTTCATATCAATTAAAACCCTGCAGTTTTCTTTTGTTTGTCGGCTTTTATGGAAGAAGGAATACATTCTTGGCATTTAGGAATGATTTGAATAATGAATTCGAGAGACGGTTACTAAGTAGAAACCCCTGTCTGCCGCCTCATTGGTAATAACACGCGTGGATTGTGACTAAACTGTCGAAAAGAAATACAAACTCAGCGCTCAATGGACTTTATATTCTCACTCGACAATCAAAAATTACTAGCCAAGCACTTCCCATCGTCAACCTCTCAATTACCGGAAAATTGCGGTTTCTACTGGTAAAATTGCAGTCCTGCAAATATTCAAATTCTCAAACGCCCACTAATTCCGTGACTGTGCAAACTGCTCATACAATCCAGAACATCGGATTTCAAACTTCGCAATGTCATGAAAAAAGTATTTAGAACAGAATTTATGTAGTGGAAATAGCCCGCCGTTTTTGCATATTGCAGACAATTTTCTATGGAAATGATTCCGATATTTTTTGGGCAGAAATCGTTATTTTGATTGCGTATGCAGTAGATTTTAGTGGACGTCTGTATAAATTTTTGTTCGTGAAGAGTGTTGATGTTTGTACATTATTTACACACCTTTAGACAATTTGAATAAATTTTTGTGTTGCTTTTGAGATTTCTTGTCAGGCTTTTCCACTTGAAGACATTTTATTTGAATATCAGCTATTTTTGTCTTCTCACTGGACTCAAAGTCTAGGATTGATTCGAGTATTCCAGGATTTAATGACTTTAGAATCGATTAATTCCATCCCACAGTTGACAGATGAATATTTAAAAGGCGAGATAGCAAATGATAAAATTCAGAGAGAATTCCTCAGTATGACACAGTAATTCCTTCAATTAAGTTTTTCAAATTCCTAAGTTAAATTTTCCACTTGAAAGAACCTCGGTACTGAATAAAAATCGATGGGTCAGCAGTCGCATAATGCCATTTTGCCACTGACTCGCTTTCATTCTTTATTTTTAGCAGAAGTTTACGGTTCTTCTAGAGATAACAGAATCATTGACTCATTGGAGTCGCTCGAGAGATTATCAACAAGAGTAAAACCATTTCATGCAGTGATATTCTAAAGAAATGATAAATGCAGAAAAAGAAAATGCATTCAGACTTTATTCGGAGCGCCAACATTTCAGTTCAAATTTACCCAATGAATTTTCCAAATCTCTAAAAGAACATACTCGCTAATAATTATGAAACCAAAGAAATAAAACAACAATTCCAATCATAATAATTATAATTCTAATTATTGAAATAATTTAAAGTCAAATGACAAAATTTTTACAATTGAATGTCCAATTAATTTTAATATATATTAGATAAATTTGAAATTATTTGATAACTACAATGACAAAAATTCTAGACAAAATTTTATCAAGATTTTTTCTTGGCATAGACATAACCAGTTCCCTTTGACCTCGGATTTACCAAGGGTGAGGGTCCATTTTTATCTCAGAGTTGTACCCATTGGTAACCGGAATGGGGGACAGCCCATAACTTTCAAGTCAGATACCCCATGGATACCTCTAGGCCCCAAGGACCCAGACACACACTAACAAACGATTATTCACATACGTGAAAAGGTTTTTGTGTTGACCCTCACAGACTATTTTCCCCCTAACAAAGAGCTATTCTGGATGAAAATTCCATTGCCATCAACCATTACTATCCCAATTTTCACTAGTACTAATTGCAACGACGCTTACAAATTTTCAAATTCAATTCCAGTCTGTTTTATTGCATTTTCTTTAATTTTTCTACAAATATTTCGATTCCACAAATCACTTGAAAGAAATGATAAACAATTTTTTAGTAATTATATATTTTATATCGATTAATCTCAGAAGGTATTGTACAATGAAATATCAAAAGACCGATTTTATCCGAAATTTAATCAACTACAGAAAAGTTCTCTAATGTTTTTCCCTCAATACTTTTTTCTCGACACTTTTCGAGATAAATAATGAATCAATTAAAATTTGATCAGTCTCACTTTCGCACTCGATTGCCGGATAATTTTTCAATAAAAATACAATGGCTTAAACAACTTCACCGTTTCACAATAAACGCTCCGATAAAATAACACATGAACAGACGAAAAGTTTCAATAACTACAATTCCACGACCGATACTTCATTAAAAATATATTCTCTAGGAAAAAACTGCGATTGGATCTGCGACACATTCAATTAATTCCACTGAATTATCTTGGATAATTTCAGTCTGGTTTTCAGGAATAAGCATAATTGGTACTTACGGAGCATGTGTTCTGATTATGTAACCGCGAAATAGAATTTAAAATAGTGGGTGGGGATGACCGAGTGATGATTTGCTCTCCGAAATTGGGCAACACTTTCAGTGATTCACGTGTTGATGTTCATAACTCTGGATCGAACTCTGAGGTGTTTTCGGCCACGAGGATTGAGAGAGACTAGGCACTTTGGTGAGGTCGACGTCGTATGGTATCCGAGAACTGGTGGAGCGCCTCGACGGATACAGCAGAAATGTTGTCCCCACTCTCGGTTCAAAGCATCAATGAGCTCCGACTGCTTGAATAATTCCTGTGTGGATGTGGAATATGAGTACGAGGTTTTTTGTTCCCGTGTCGCAGCCAGTCGGCCGTCTGGTGGGGTAATTGACTTAGCTGTCAGTAATTTAACGCAGGCACCCATTGACTTCACTGCCACACTACTAATAAAAAAAAAACCTACATCTTTCCAAAACTGAAAAATCACAACTAGGGGATTCCCATTGGGTATCAGTCCTCACATTGTCAGGTTTTCAAATTAAATTCTCAAGATAAACCCCGAAATCCACGGCCACCAAAAAAAAAGAAGCCGGAAGCATTTATTATTGCTAATAGTTGCCCCTGGATTACCTCCAGTGAAGCCTTTGAATTTCAATCACTCGTAAAAGACAGTGTTTCATCATTCGGTAATAAATCACGCAACGAATCGCCTTGTACAGAAGATTTTTTATTTCATCATTCCTTGACAATAAACTGTATGTACAGTTGATAATTGCCCGGGCCAAAAATTGCCCTCTCCTGATAAAAATTTGTAGCAAAATTTACTGTCAATGCATTTTTACCCTGACTTAGTAACAAAAAAAACGGTAACAAAAACGTTTTTTCTTCACAGAGTGATTACGAGTTCTCTTGATATTTCTCCTACAAATTTTTGATCGAAAGCCCCCCCTCCGAAATTTACAAAGAACCTACAAATAAATAATAATTAACCAATTACTCCGTTAATGAATCAATTGATAACGTATACGTCATGTGATATTGTAACTTCTCAGTGGCGGCAAGCTCAATTCATTTAATCTTCGTCTCATTTATTTAATGATGGCCGACAGAATCTCTTCCTTGCCCACCAGACAGTCGCGAGTGCTGCAGCCAAAAATCCAATGCCAGCAACAATTCCCATCGAAATTGCTCTATTCCTACGATACGCTGGTACTTCTAACGTGAACTGTTCACTAGTGGCAACATCTTCGGTTCTGGAAATTGCTGACACCTCGAATATGTAACTTGTATCCTCTTCTAGTGTTTTAACTGTAATGTGAAGTGATAATTACGTAAATTTATTACTGCCAGCTAAGTACAGAGGTAAGCGTCAAGTCATTAGCAGCAATTAGCATACGAGCTTTGGAATTATTGATTTATGCCATTTCCCACATTCGACAAATTCCAGGAATAAGATTAATCAATTGATTCACTCATTGACTGATTTGATTTATTGAACTGACGTTTCAGTTTCTTTGGAGCAAATACTGAATAGAATTAATGAATAATAATTTGATTAATCGATACGATTATTCTAGATTAATGGCGTGGAAATTGTGTTAGGGATTTACCTAAGTAAAATGTATCGACGGTCTCGGCTGTCCCGTAGAGTGCCTCTGCAGGATCGCGAAACCATCTGACAGTGTAGCTCTTGATCATGTCTTTTCCTTCAATTGGTGGCTCCCACGTTACCAGATAACCCTCAGCTGTCACCTGGACACGAACATTTCGTGGTGGTTCCACACTCGCCTCCTCGTCTAGGCGATAATTATCAAAGGAATGACTTGGACACATTCAGGATCAATAATAAAGGGAATATACCTTGAGTACTCCGGAATTCCGAGGCTGAATTGCGGTCTAGAGACCCTGGTGATAATTTAATCATCATTTATCTTTTTTTTTATTTTCTTATGGGTTAAAAGAAAATAAATAACCTGTTTTTGTATTCTGCGTGAGGACACGAATGCTCTTGCTGAACATGCCATCACCATGCTTATCCTGACTCAGAACCATGAACTCGTACTCACGACCTGGCGATAGATTGGGAATTGTTGCCTCGGTTATTTTCTTCGAGGGTATTTTCATGGTTTTCCATTCGGTTGTGTCCGTTGGTCTGTACCTATTCCCGAGGAAAATATTATTCATTATCAAATATGAGTTATCAAAACAGAAACATCTCGGGAAACTCAGTCCAGACATTAATCTCAAATTTTACCCCTAATATATTAAATGAATTAATTCATTAATCTGTATAGGGTAAATTTATCAGCCACTACTAAACGGAATTTGTTCATCAATCATTTTGATGTAATGAAAACCATCGTACCAGACAGCGTATTCCATTTTAGGTCTCACATATCCAGGGACCCACGTCAATGTAACGGAATTTCTGCTGCTGTTAGCATTGAGATTGTATGGAGCTCTGGGTGGAACATTGAGCACCATGAGCTCAGCATCAGCGACAATGGTAGCAGCTTCATTACTGGCAGCGCATTGATAAAGTCCTCTGTCTTGTTCCTGAATTCTTTCGATGGTCAAATTTCCACCACTGAGAATAGCCCGTTCCTGCGGGAGAGGAGAACCGTCCTTCTGACCGAAGGCTGTGTTAGTTTTGTTCCAAATTTTTCTCGTCTAATTGTCATTATCCATTAACCGAATGGACATTTTGCAATTGTTATAATTATATTTTGTTCTGTATCAATGAAGTGATAAGCCTGTTCGTGTGGATGCATGCGACCAAATTTTTTAGTAATTGTTCGCTCATGAATGGATGGAATTTAATCTTTTTTTTTTTAAATGTAAGTACTGATGAGCCCTACGAATCGATATTAAAGTGTTCGTTAAGTTAATTCACTGAACTTATTAATTCATTCTCCATTATTCTATTTCTTTATTAGTCAATAATCTTTGATCGGAGTAATTCACCTTGGAATTGTGAGGAATGTTTATTTCACGGATGGTACAGCAGAGATAGGATCAGTGAGTGACTATCAAAATTCTCAACTAAAGATATCATTGGAGATCATCACTCAACCGTAAAATGTTATATTAAACGGAAAACATACTTTAAACCAGACGATTGTTGGCCTTTGGGACTGATCCCCGTCACGAGCGTCACAGGGAATTTCCAGACTTTCGCCGAGTTTTCGCATGTAGAGACGTTGAGGTGTTACCGTGAAAACTGGAGGTCTCTGAACGATCTGAATATTTTTACAAAGAGAAATCATCATCAATTAATCGTTCGACATTAATTTGATAAAAATTTTATTGATTTCATTAATATTTCGGTTGGAACTCGATAACTAATCGATTTTTTTTTCGAAATGAGAATTCCTATAGATTTTTTAATCTATTCATTAAAACTGAATAGGATATATATCAATTAAAAAGGCAATAGGGCTGAGCAGTCTTTTGAAATATTACAATGGATGAATATATTAGATAGCATTTCGACTTCATGTGAAGGATTTTCATAAGTTCAATTGAAATTGCCCCTCTCGTTAACCCACATGGACTCATGCAATTGAAATAAATAATTTTACATGGTGCACTTGACTCAAACAATTCAGATAGCGTTAATATAACGGTGCATTCAACGTTTGCAATCAGATTGGCGAATAATGGGCATAAACTGGTCAATCGTCTTAATAGTCGCTTCATTTATTGGACAATAAGGCTATTTATGGATTAATGAGTTTACCACTGAAATCGAGGGACTGGGGCCCTCGGTACCAAGTTCATTGTACGGTGTGCAACTGTAGCTGCCGGAGTGGGTCTCGTCAACTTTGCTAAAGTACAGGGAACCGTTTCGACGGTAGAATACACCAGGAACGTTGTAGGGATCGAAGAGAAAACCGTCTTTTTCCCATCGTAAATTAGTCAGGGGTGGATTCGCTCGGAAGTGACAGTCCAAGAGAGCTGACTTTCCATAGGGAAGGAAGACTTCCCTTGGGGCGTAAATCACCTTCGCTTTATCTGAATTCAATTCGAATCAATCATAATAACAATTATTTCAACAGGAAATATTGCAAATTAACCTCTTGCAATTATAATCACTACTTTTATAATTATTACAAATTATTATCTTTGTGGAAAGGGAAAAATCTATTTTTTTAATGACTTCAAAATGAAAATAGATATGTTAATTTGAATATTGATAGTTTAACAGGAATAGAAAGAAATTATTGTCAGATAGGGAGAAAGTAATTCAAAATATTACATTGAACATTTAGAAAAGCTGATGCCGACTGCTGATCTCCAAGAACATCAGTTACCACGCAGGAATATTCCCCCAAGTCTCCGATTGCTGCTGGGCTTATTATCAGTGTGCCATTTTCATTTACAGTTATCCTCCCTCTGAGATCCTGTAAAAAAAATTCGGCAGGATAGTACAAATTGGAATAATTGGTTAAGTTTCATAGGAAATTTTTAATTCACCTCAATCTGTTCGATCTCGAGTCCATCCCTCAGCCAATTGACGACTGTACTACTATCTTTTGTTATGCACTCGAACTCAACAATTTCCCCTTCCATCGCTGTTCTGTTAACAGGCGGTACAGCAAGAAGATTTTCACCTACAACATTGTCGCCCGGTTGCGACACACCTGGGTTAAACAATTTAACGAGTCTGTCCTATTTACGGTTAGTAATTCAGAAGTTTCATTCAATTCGATTAATATGTTATTTCCTGCAGCCTGCGTCATCAATAAATGCACGGACCGTCATTTTCGAAGAGTCATTAATAACTTTTAGTGAAGACGAGTACTTCTTTCTCAGAATCGCATTTCATCGACCAGTACTTGATTTAATACATATTCATAAATGGCCAATTGGAAAAAAACGAATTAAAAGAATTCAGATGAAATTTTTTCTGTTATTTACGACTTTTGGTGAGGAACTTTTCTCAAATTCTCATTTTTCGGTCAACTAAATATTTAGTTTTTATGTAGTCAGGGAGTGTGATTATATTAGAACTCTCGAAGAAATCGGAAAATTAATATGATCTTCCGTTTTTTGGCGAGGTAAATTGAACGAATGGATGAATTAGTAATTAGTTTTAGGATTGTTTTTAAGTCGATAAATACCTTCGATACTGAGGTGAAACCAGGTGCCATTATTTCTGGAGCTTGGAGATCTGTCTGGAAACACAACCTTGCACTCATACCACCCCTGATCACTTTCCCGGATATTTGTCAGGTTTATGCTGCCATGTCCGTAGTCACTCGATAGATTATCCTCGAGCAGGTGTATTCTACCTGAATAGTCATCAGCAATTGATAGTATACTATTCGCCTTCTCATTGCCTGGTACTTCGTACCAAGAGAACACGGTTCTTCCCTATTCGAAGAAAAATTGATATTTTTTTCGCATCATCATTTATAAAAAATTAATAATCCATTTATTCCAAGCAATTAGTTCTCGATTTTAATTCCACAAATTCGTATGAGATAAATTTACAGTTGCATTCAATGGAATCAAATAAAAATTGCAAGATAATTGTAATTACAGAACATTTGGATAAAAATTTATTTAGAAAAATCGATCTATCGCTCAATCATTAGACATGATAAAATAAAATAAATAAACGTGGCGGAAATTAATTTGTCATTTAAATTTTAGCCCGTGGAGATTGGGAAATGGATAGAATTCCGAAAAAAATTGACTAATTCTAGAGAATAATCTCATTAAATGCAATTAGATCTGTAAAAATAGTGCAGGAAGAAATCAAGTGGGGAAATCACGAGAGCAACTCGAGTTTCATAGTTAAGAGACACATAATACCCGTTCATTGTCCTATTAACAGTGACAACACTTGAGGCATGCACGCAACCATCGTCTGCAGCACTACTAAGTGCTGCATATGCAGATTAGGGAAGACTAAATAAAATTTTTCCGGTTTAATCCAACGGGGCTTATAATCATAATTTAGAACCCTTGATTATCACTATTTTCTCCCTGCCAATCGTCAGCAGCCACTGATTAGTTGATTATCCCATATTTCCCTTTACTTTTTCACCAATAAACTATGAAAATCATTTAAATCTCTAATTACATTACATTTTCGCCACCTCAAATCCGTTTTTCAATAAATAAATTCGGAGCCAATGATTATTCATAAAATTTTTCACACGTGAAAATTTTGAATTGATAGGCAACTATGAACATGAATGAATAATAATTATGTCCAAAGAATTTCAGTTGAAGTCTACTTACTTCCCTGTTCCACGTTAAAATATAGGGTATCGGTATCTCATGGGGAAAATCGAGGTGGCAGTTGAAAACGACGTACTCCCCGATGGAGGCAGTAAAATTCTTGGTATCCTTTTCCTCCTCCAGGAGCATCCCATAGCCGAGAGCTTCCCGAAAAGCAAAAAATTTCCATAAAAATCCAACCAAGAGATTAAAAAAATGTCGACAAATCCACAAAATTCAATCGTCATCATTTCCACTTCCTCGAAACCCGATAATCATCAGCAGATTCTATATCCAGCTACAATTTCAATCCCCACATCAATATTACCCTCTCACATTACCTGAATAGCAGATGCACAGGAGAGCGAGTCCTCTAGCCCATTTGCCAGTGATTGAATAACGAAAATCCATTATCTCTTTAATAACAGTTCAATAAATCTCCAGAAGGTGCTATCAGGCCCACATAAGCACTGTCACCTCCACTGCACACAAATTATTCCACTCAAACCATTTTCCACTCTCTAAATCCAAACTCTGACTCCAGAGGATCAGAGGACAATCAAATAACTGATCTCATAATCTCAGCTGTTGCAATTTCAGTGGCAAGTGATCCAGTAATTTTTAATTGATTGGACAATCGATTGGTCAACGAGACTATTACCACGGTCAGTGATTACGCGGGAATGATCACTCGATGATCGATAGAACCGTGGAATAGCTGGTAAATGTGGATTTACAGACACGGAATGCCTTACTCGGAGTGATCGAGGAGCGGTGGAGATAAACCAAGTAATTGTTGCACTCGTCCGCAGTCAAGCGGATACAAAATCGTGACAAGATGAGGGTGGGGATGGGAATTAATTCTGATACATTCTGTGGGCTTGTCCCATACAGGATCAGAATTGTTGGTGAGGGCGCGGTGAGGACAATTACAATTCGGACAACTCGATACACCAGGTGTTTATTCCCATTTTTACCATTTTCAACTGCGCAATTGGTATCCTCATTACTCTATTCAAAAGACGGAGTTCCAATTCTCAGAAAACTCCACGAAATCCCTATAAACTCTAAAGATAATCATCCAAAATAAAAAATCCCTTAACAAATAACATGAATTTATCAAAGGTGGATTAAATATTTCAGACGAATGGCTATAGGAAAATATAATTATGTAGAAACATTCATTTTCCGCATGTACACTTCATCCAGGTGCAGTTCCCCAGGTACCTGTGGGGGGAGGGAGATCGGGTAATCGGGGGATAAACCAAAAAATTAATAATTAAACCCCCTGGGGGGTATTGAAAAATTTGAGCAGTCATCATTCGCGTGGGTGACCTCAAATTACGTCACATCCGTCCCTTGGACGCATTATCAGACTGCCCACAAGCCCACACAACCTTGTCACGTTGTTGAAGATAATAGATCCATTCGCATGGATCACGAACGTGGATTGGACGTGCACGGGACACTGGAAATACATGTAATGCGTTCATAACAGAGGAGACGAAGCTTGAATATATTACCTTATCAAATCAAATCTAGAGCCGACGAGTGACATGTGTACTTCCTCCAGGAACCATCCAGGATCTATTCTCTCCAGACCGGCGTGATCCAATCAATTTTCTCATTATAATCAGTCTCAAAATGTGATAATTTATTTAGTCATTGCCAATTTACGGTTTAAGTTAAATCATCAGAGAAATTATTTCTTGAATCCAAATTACAAATTTACTAATTCAAGTTGTGCACTTGTTTCTTTTTTTTAATTTAATTATTAATCTATTTATATTTGATTTATTTATAGAACGATTCCATTTAATTTTTATAGCGATTTGAGGGACAAATTCAATAAAAAAAATATTAAACAAAAGTCTAATGAATTTGGGGGAAAATAACAAAAATGAATGAACAGATGAATAAAAAAGGAAAAATAAATTTGAAAAATGATTAGTGAGATTAATTGGTAATTATATTTCCCATTTATTTTTCCATGCGTCTATTAAAGGTCTCTCGGTTTCAGTGATGATATTAAATTAAATACGTGTTAATAATTAGTTTAAAAAATGATATAATATTAGTATAGATACCGAGGACATCGGGTTTTCTCCAGAATATCGGATTCGTGGAGGCCTTGGATTCGTGGTGATTACACGTTTCCGAGGAAGATTGAATGATCGAATTACGCGTCTGGGAACGGTTGAATTATACACGAAGTGAGAAAGAGGTTGTAATGAGGGCATAAAGCCACAAGTGAGTCACAGACTTTGTTCCATGGAGCCTAGCTAATTTGTAATATTAGTTTTTTCCGCTTTCTCCCCCTCTTCAACTTCAAGGAAATCAAATTTGCTCTGACACTTCGGTTTATTTTCAGTTTTTATTTGTAATAAATTGTCTACAATTTTTCTAATGTGATTTTTCATTATTTTAGTCCGTCATGGATTTGATATCGGCAGAATTAAAGTGCAGGATTTGAAAATAGCCCTTGGAATTTTCCGGAGAACGATTTTTTTTTATTAAAAGACTGATGAACTGGTGGCAATTTCGGGAACTGAGGAATGATGAAGGGCGGGCGATCGGGGATTCCCCTGAATTTATTGTCATAAAAAAGGAATCCAGAAATGGAAAATGGAATCAGTAATTATTGTTAATTGGTAATTGTTTGGTTTCTATTTATTTTATAGTTTACTTCTTTCCATTTTCACATCATTTTCGTTCAATAGAAATTGGATAATGTATTACATCAGATAAAAATCTGGGAATCTTTGATAATTACGATAATGACGCGATTTTTCTCGTCGTATTATAGTTTCTCTGGAATTTCAACGAATTCTGCAATTTTAGTTTCAAGATTTTAGAAAAGCATTCGAATTTAAAGTAATTTCACTCTTGAAAATGCCTAGTCAATGAAATTTCAAGTCTTTTGATAAAGTGCGTGAGCTTGATGATTAATTTACTTCTCTCATTACACGGGAGAGACTCATCAGATTTTTCGAGAGAAAACATCAGTGCAAATTACCCCCCACATGATTTTTATGGGCAAATATAAATGTACAGTGAAAAATTGAGGATTTAAATTAGGAATTGAGGGTTTAAATTTGGAATGGAGGGGTCAAATAAAGACATTGGAAAAAATAATCGGTTTAAGACCGATGGTCCGAAGAGCATTGATGGAGATTCTCAAGGACGACACACCAAATGGCTTTCAGGTACGGAAGTAGGTGGGTTTTATTATATCAGAAGGATTAGTCAGCAATGATTGTGGCGTGATAAAATAATTCGAGTCGTTACCGAGAAATTTTGCGGGGAGATTTTTCTCAGAGCTTTATTATTGATTCAAGAATAAAATAGCGCATTAATTCTCATCGTTAGATATTCGAGAGATTGGAATTTAATTTAGCACTGGGCTGCAGCGTTCGAAAAATTCCCAACTGTCTACTCCGTACAAAAATAACATTCCCAGAAAGAACCGTGCTGCGAAGTGCAGTGAATTGTAATCCGATTATTCCGCAAACATTTCAGACAATCTATTCAAAATTTGACAGGTGTAATCTAAATGCAAATCAACTCAATCTATCATTTGAAGAATCTCAGAATTCTTCTGTATTTCCAATTTATGGAGCACTAAAAAGCGAATGAAATTTCAATACCTTAAAATTCTTGACATGGAAAATGAATATCATTTATGAAATAAACAATGTGCGTAATTTTATTATGATTCTCAAAAATCATCACGATTCATTATCACGAAAAGATTAAAAAAATCTATTTTACTCTAGACAGTTTCCTCTCCCTTTTATTGATTATTCACACGTTGAGGGACTGAATTAATCATTCTTGAATCAAAAATATTACCCATCCACGAGAGACTGGACAAACCCATTAAAATAAATCCACAAAGTATTCAATCAGAAGTAGAAAATTATATTTCACAATAAAGAAAGAAACCAATCATCAGCCAAAATAAAAAAGAACGTGAAGAACTGAAAATAATGGTACGGTAACCAGAAGATTTAGCGATTCACGTGTGTCCTCTTGAGATCCTTTTTGTTCCTTCTAACTATATGATATATCTACACTTGACTTATCAGACTACTTGTCTAAACAAATTGGAGACCAACGACGCAACCAAAAAAGGCTCACAGCCCTTTTCACAGTGCGACGTAATCCTTCGCTCTCCTCATTTTATATTTCTCATCGTCGTCCCGAGATTTTGCGTCAAGCTAAATACTTTTTCAACTCAACACATTAAATAACTAACAAATAAACGTAAACCGATGGATGAATCAGTCGAGCAGAATCGATATCAAATCGGCATGATTGACAATTTCCAACCAATAATACTATTCATAATAATATTAAATAATAAATCAAAAATCTAAAAAAATAAAATTGCACGCAAAGTATCGGGACCACGCTGGACCATCAATACGAATAATCAAATATATTATTATAGTTAACTATGTTTTAATAATAATAAGTATGATACAACGGCAATCGGCAATAAATCGACAATGAACAGTCGTTAATGCCATTTTTTTTCATATTAAAAACACATCATCATTATTTTTTCATCCCTGCTTCCGTCGTCTCGTTGATTAATACGCTACAGGCTATATCGTTACGATTTACAATATCAATTAATTATCAAATTATTAATTCAGTTATTAGAATTACTTTAGAATATTGGTACTCTTGTGTTTTTCCCTCTCTCTCTCTCTCTCTCACACACTCTCTCGATCTCTCTCACGTCTTCTCATCACTTGCCTCGTAATTTCGTTAACAGTTTTTGTTTAATCTCATTATTTAATTCATCACTCGGTAGTTTCATCCTCGCATTACCATTTTCACTGTGCTCTTACATTCTTTTCATATTTCTTTATTTCCTCCGCCGTTTTACAGTTAATAATACAGTATTTCATTGACTGCATCATTGTGCTTATCGCAGCATACAGTTTTTAATTGTGTAGAACCCTTACTAATCTTCCTTTATAATTATTTATTTTTCTGTTACGTATTTATATATATGTATAGTGTTTTTTTTTCATTTAATATAAATAAAATGTTTGTACTATATGAAAAGAAATTAAAATGCTTGGGAGTCGGTGGGGAAATGGCTATTTGTGATTATTCATTTACTCTGTGAACAGAAGAGTCAATTTACTGGGAACATTAACTGAAGATTCGGTTAGTGATTAATTAAATAACTTGTGATAATTTAATTCCGCCCTTTTTTAAATCATAGTAACAGCATTTATTTTCAAATAGCCATTCTCTCCATCGACTCGACGTTATGATTGTAATTACAATGCGTTTGGTGAGAGTTTAGGTGGGATATTTGAAGAATAATTAAGTTTCATTTATTTATGCGTGTCGAAGTGCGCATAGTTATCTTCATTTAATACACAGCATTCATTTCGCAGGTCAGCCTCTCAACGTTTAAAACAAAATCGTGTGAATTGTGATGAGAGCATTCCAAACAAGATAATCGATGCACCAGTGGACTAAAATTTGAATTCCCCCCATCAGCTCTGAATGAATATCAAGTGCTCTTCATCTCTCGATCACTGGGAGTGCGTAATTAGAATATTCACAACTTAAAAAAAAATAAATAAATAAAAAAACAATGATTTCTTATCTTTCGTCACAATTCACCCGAAACATCAAGTACACCTGGACGAATGTCATTGTCAAATACTGATTATCGGCCATGGAAGTTATAAATAAGTGGTAAGTACCTCAAATTTTCCCATTAACACAATCGAAAAACGATGAGCGGGAACAAGTGCTGATTGTGACAGCCGCATTTAAAATTGGCAGATCCTGCGAAATAAAACCTCAAGGGTGGTTTTAAAATCGCAAAATAAAAAATAAAAAATAACCGAGACCGACCATGCAATGACCCAAGTTTTTATTAATTTTCTCAATCATCTTTTCCTGTCTCCATTAAAACACATTATGTCATAATTTATTAATTATAATATTAATTTACGTTGCTTAAGAAAAATTATTGTGCCGATAATATGTTGGGTTACTAGCGAAACCCTAAATAGGCAGTGCAGTACGAGTGAGTCCTTAAGCAATCTCGAGGCAAGCTTCGGCCTAATATCACGTTTCGAGTCCATTGCTCATCGATTAATTAATTACCTTTAATTGTTTTCCTCAACTTGTGAGTAATGTAATCGTATGTTCCTCCGTTGATCGATGATTGATTAAATGATTAAATTTAACATTGCATCTCGATTAAATGTTGTTGTACATCATTGTGTCATTAATCTTTGCGCTTATTCTTTGGGGGCATTTTCAGCCTTCACGTTGTGTTATTGCATAATTCTTTATTGCCGCTGAAGTGTTAACGTTGAGCCACCGGAAACACTTCACACGCAATAATTATGAAGTAACATTAATAATTTCATTAATTGAGAGTAGCTTTGTCGTCTGTCATATGTATCCACAACTCCTTTCACTTCAAGAGTTTCTTTGAGCCAATTGTATAATCATGTGATAGCCGAGATTAATTACCAAATTCGATATGAGTTGTTGATGCCACCATTAAAAAAGTCTCATTTGGTTATTATAGAGCCAATGTGAACACCCGAGTACTCGACGTATCCATTATTCACTGTTAATTAATGTTCTGTTTAACTTTATTATTTAAAACTACTGAAATAACTGCTGTCCCGGTCTAGACGGAACATTTATTCTCATGATCATTAAATCCGAATTAACTCTGTCTAATCATTGCTTCACAGATGACTCGTGTAATGTATCTGCGTAGATCATACTGATGTATCATATTCATGATATTAATTTTCACCTTATATCTTGAGTTGTCAATACGTGTCAATTAGTGGTTGGGTATTTATTCAGTAGTTCAATCACACAGACAAAGTGGTGAGGCTAGATGACTCCACAATTCACATCACCCACTGTCAAACATGCCCATTCTCTCTTCCAATTCAACTACAAGTGATGTAGCTCTCGATGCCCAGTACCTATTAACCATAATTTAGTTCCTTCAATAGTTCAATGAGAGGTGCGTAAACCAAGTGGTGAAGATTGAAGAGTCTCTCTGATCGATCAGCTGTAGAATGAATCGATCGATTGACGTACAAAGCCAAAATCATTCTCAACTTTCGCGTGAGCAATCACTCTCCGAGTCATCGCACTCCTCCAACAATTCCAGTACCCTTCCTCTCCTCTCCCTCCACCTACCGGACCGCCCACCCAACTTCACCTACCGTCAGCAAGCGCTCTCCAGGTGTGCACTCTGTCGTCGACGTGCCTGTCTCTGTCTGAACTGATGGAACTCCGCCTTCATAGCCTGCACCCTAGCCTCGATATTGTCCCTCGAGTATCTCGAACTCTGAACAGTATTGGTGGTGTGCACCTGATGCATGTGGGGCAGATGAATCGTGTGAATCTGATGAACAGGCGGCCTCTCCTCACGAGTGGGTGTCGACGCAGAGGTCGGCGTCGGTGTACAGCTGACAGGATCGAATTCATAATGGCCATCAACACTGCCGACATCGACGGCAATGTGTGCATGATTGTGAGGTAACTTGACGGGTATCTGCTGGTGATCCTGAAGCTCCAGCCACCGTCCAAGAAGTGGTGGAGGTGGTGGTCTGTAAGGTGGAGGACGCCATTCAGCAACAGTACTGCCACTTCTCGAGCTCTGATTCTGCGTTTGACTGGTGTTCTTGCTGCCGAATCCTGAAGAACTCGATCTACTCTCTGGTGAGGTTTCCGTCATGTGAAGATCAGGGGATGCAGCTAGTTCTGGAGCTGAGCGGGCGTGTCTTGCGTGTCTCGGGGGCAATCTTGCTCGGGGCCGTATACCACCGGGTTGTGGTGGCGATGAAGTAGCGAGTGGCTGCACTGGGACAAATCGTCTTGACTCAGCGTGAATTGCTTTGAGCGAGGGGAGCTCCTGGCTGTAACGCTGGTGAACACTCTTCAGCTGGAGGTGATGATAGTCCGGCGTCAGCTCATTCGTTGGAAATGAACGCTCAACTGATGACGGCTGACGCACTGAGCTGAGATCCGTCAGGTAGAGGGAGGGATTTGTCGTCCAGATGATTTGACCGCTGTTCGGTGAACTCGCGAGAAAACCTGGTGATGCGATTGCGCAGATTTTCGACTGCTTTCCCAGGGGATTGATCAGGTTGCTGAGGTGATTGCTCAGGTATCCCATCGCTCGGTTTGGAATACCCAGGGAGACACCGCTGTTGTCTGAACGCAGGCTCAGCTGACTTGTGCCGACCAGGGGACGCCGCCACGAGGACTTGAGACGGCTTTTCTTGGGGAGAAAGCCACCGTCGTCCGAGCTGGAGGCGTCCATTATGCTGTTGTTGGCGGAACTCATTAGTGAATCGGCGATCACAAAACGACCGTCAGCTGCTCGGGATATTTTACCAAGTGGGCGACATCTGCAGGAGTCGGGGCTGTCTGGGTTCAGGATCTCTCGGAGAAGGGTTAAACCTGGTACTCGGCTTTTTCTAGATCTAGGGGAGAGAGAGAGATTAATTCAGGGACCTCGAGGGGGGAGTTACCGGGTAGCCAATGGCGGAGATGAAATCGTCGATTTTTTTGAGCCAAAAATGAAATTTGAGTTTACTATTCTATTGAATTTCTATTATGCCTTGCTGGTTATAGCAAAATGATTAATTTCAAATGTAATTCAAGTGGAAATGGACAATTAGTCTATTTTTTTTCACATTTGTTAAACAATTATAAAATAACAGTTACGAGTTAGTTCTTTGAGGAAGACAAATACATATTTATGGAAAATATTCAATAGAAATCCAATAGAATTATTTAATAACTTCTTACAAATAAAATCGAATAATTTCGCTGCCAATGACTCATCGATTTTCAATAACGATTTCATCTTCGATCCCTTGGTTACCCCGTAATAACAATGACGTGCAACAATCACAAGTAAATGACACTGAACATCAACATGAAGACAAAAATAATTGTAAAAACCCAGGGATTAATGACAACTTAAACACTAAACACTGATCAACTCGTGATAATGAATTAGAAGGATAATGAAAAAAAAAATGTCAGGCCTGAGGGATCATGCCCATGCGCATTCCTGTGCAATTGTAATTGGGTGTGAATATCCAGGAATTAGGTGACATCAGTTAGGTGAACAGTGGCTAACTGATAAGTGAATGGAATTTGAAATCTGCCAAATGATTAAGACTCTATCATCAAGATTGCTTTTCTTTTTTTGTTTATCTTTCAAACGAAATCCAATTAAAATGCTTGTTATATCGTTGATGATTGAACATAATGGAATAATTTAGTGGTTGCAATGGTGGAAATTTTTTTTGGTGCTCCTTGTCTCGTCACCTTTTTTCCTCCTTCGGGTCCGGCAGCAGGGAAAGAATCGGGGAGAGAGAAGTATGTAACACAACGATTACATTCACTGAGAAAATAACTGTGGTAATAATGATAATAAACACTAAAAATAACTCGAATGTTTTTTTTTTGTAATTTTTATTAACGTTAAGGCGGTGATTAGGGAGCAAATAGATAGCTTCAAAATTATTCAATAAAAAATTAAGAGAAATTTTCAGATGGTAGATAATTTTTAAAATATTGTGGAGCACGACAAAATATAATTATGCACACTGACCCGCTGGTAACATGCGCACATAGCGAATAATAAAACGATAACAAGGGGATGAGCGGTGGGAGGGGGGAGGGGATGGAAGGGGATGATTAACAATGAATATTTGGTTACCAGCTTGTGCAGGATAAAATAATTTACCTACTTGTTTGGTTGAAGGGGGTGTATTAGTGTATTTCGTATTTCATTATTAATTATTGATCGTCTAAAATTAATAAACTGAAATGAAGAAGAAAGAGTGATGAATGAATTTGAAGTTTTTATTGAATATATCAGATCAGGAAAAATTATCCACTCCGATTAAATCAGCGATAGAATTCTAATAAACTCTAATTTCACCAATCGATTACGAATTTTAATAGAAAAACACATGTATAATGAGACTGGATAATTCATCCGACATCACATCGGTCACATGCCATATTCTAATACAAAAGCTTGAACTTCAATTAAATATCATCATGAAAAAAATAAATCAATACAAACGAATATTTATTTGTCGTGCTCATTAATGTGAATGATTAAATAAATGAATTAATGGAGGAGATAAATAATTATTCGATGAATTGCTGATGACTGACAATGAGAGAAAATAATTCTCTCAACAATTCTAATTGTTATCTATGTACTCCCTAAAAGCCGCCGAGCCAAAGGTTAAGGGTACTGACTGGAAGAACTAGTGAGTCCTAGCTGTTTGCCTGTATTGCTCATCTCATCTACAGTCATGACAATCATCCTAAATAGTAGACAGTAGGTATAGTGGTTGGTGGATGTAGTTATAGGTCCTAGCAGGTTGTAACATTTGCAGAGCCATGTACGTTGTCTCTTAATTATGATTTTTGTTTCGTTTTTTTTTATCAGGTGAACTGTCGTCATAGCAACGGTGACGGTCAATTAGCGGTAATTAATGGTAACAACAGTAGCACTTTAGAGTGGATGATAATGACTTTTAAAAGTAATTTGGTAATGGTCGATTTAGAGTATTCCCACCGCTATTCGTTCGCTAGGTTTTTTTTTCGTTTTTTTTTTCGTCGTTTTATTTTTATTTATCTTTTTTTTGGCTATCGTTCATATCGATCGAACGGTCGTTGTCGATCTGGGACTTGTCTGGGTACGTAGTTGCTAGCGGATGTTAGGCTTACTGTTCCGCCTCTCTATGATAAAAACGCTCTCGTTATCTCGATTATCGAGATGGAGTGCATGATGGTCACGATCACGATTCAAGGGGGCCTCGTAGACCTGCTCCGAGGTGGCAGTGGCGGGGATAACTTGCGTAGGAAGTGGTTGATGAAGAGGTTGTGGTTGCGGATTCAACGGGCTGCAACGGGTCAGCGTCGACACTGACTCGCCGCACGCGTTTAAGTTTGTCGACCTACAGAACATACAGAGGACATGGAGACACCACGTGGTGTTTTCTTTTTTTGTTTTTTTTTTTACAGAGTCTCTTGCACATTAGGTGTCATTGAGGCCAGTGAGTCTTTTTTCACTCTGGGAGGAGAAAAGATTCACTGTCTCACCACAGCGATTACCCCAGTTACTCTCACTGTCAGTTACTTTTGAGGTGACGGCAGCGATTTATCGATTTTTAACAATAGCTTTTCAGGGGTCAATTATATCTGTTTGGGGGATGGGGAGGGGGATTGTTTTGGGGGATTTTTACGTGTGATGAGGCATTAGGTGGTGCTTTTAGGAGTCTTTTTTTATTTTGCTTCGATTTTTCATTCAGGAAAAAACTGTGAATCTTGACAATTTGGTGGACAAATTTTGTTGGAGAGTTTCTGAAGAAATTGAGAGGGATTCAGATCAGGCAATTGGAATTGATTGTTTATAAATGATTCATGAAATTGTGTAATTGGTAAAGGGATATTCCTTCAAGTCGTATTTTTTGTAATTGGATGATGAATTTATTGTTAAAAATCGTGAGTTCAAGAGAATTGTTATCACAACCGTCACCTCCAGATCTTAACGATTTTCAGAGACCGTCCAGCCCGTTCTGGATATTATGTAGGCACATCAGTATCTTAATTTACAATAACCAATTTACGAGATGAGAAATGAAAACGATATCTCATTTCCCTCGGATTCACCAGCGGATAATGAAATAATGTGAAAACATACTCAAGTAAATGAAAACAATGAACAACTGAAATAAGTGCTCCTCTTCATGATGATTATTCATAACGATCAATGTAAGTGATAACTGAATAAAACAAAAAAAGAAAAAGCAATGTGAAAGAACTGTTGATAAAATTACAATTGATAATAATCCAGAATAGGCATCACTGCAGTCGTATTGTGGACTTTTGGATGCCATTTTTCAAATAATAATTTGCATTTTATGTTCGCAGTGCCAAATTTATGTTAACCGTTAATTTTTATTAATTTATTTGAAAATAAAGAACCTCTAATTGCTGTGCTGTGGTGTATTAAAATAGTATTCAAACAATTCGAAGGATTCGTTCTGCGTGCAATCGAGGAACGTGAGAAAATAGAATCAGTGCATGTGATCGATTTCGTCCGCTTTCCATGAAATAAGTTGTTCAGTTAATCGGTGGTTTGTCTTGTTTTTTTAAAAAAATTGATTTTTTCAATAATGATTTTTTAAAATGCACTACATCGCACTCCAACCTCGTCCAAAATACCTCTGCTGCTTCGGTCAAACCTGTCAATCTCTAAGTATCTAAGGCTCACTGTTTTCCTCAGATGTGAAGATCAAAAAATCAACTGTCCATCATTTATCATTCAATCATCTACAAAACCATGGAATTATTAAATTTATAGGTCTTCAGTCTGCAGAATGAATTCTGCACTCAATATTCACAATAATTTGACAGTCAAAGGAGCTATGAGTAATTATTTTCTTCTAAAACAAATGAAGCATTTGAAATGAGATTGTAATGATTTTTTTATCTTCAACGTCTGACGTTCACGTGGATGCGCGTACATACTTGAATAAAGTAATCATACATCGCACATAATTGATTGAATTCTAGTTTGATCGTGAGAGGTTTCGTTATTACTGTGGTGCTTCGGTGGCCTATTGCTCGGGGGCTTAATTACTAAAATTCTGACTAAGCTCAGGTCATATGTATTATCAGAATTGCATCTGCAGTGCGGACATTTTTAATACTTCCATTTCTCTTTGGTTATATTTTTTTCTATTCACTTATTTCAATCTCACTCGCCGCAAATGCAATTCCCTTCGGTAAATGATTACGAGCCCAGACGGGGCTGCGCATTTCAATCTGTATTCTTCGTAATTTTTTTATTTATGATATTTTAATGGTTGATTAGAATTGTACTGGGGAGTAGTAAAAATGGAAACTTACTTTTTCAAAGGCACTGTTCCCTGCGGCCCCTGTCCAGCCCCGTTGCGGGCGTCAGTGACTCTGCAGGCTACCATGTTATACGCTGAAAGTAGTTCTATAATGTTAGGAGAAAAAAAATATTCGTTATAATCTCATTGTTGCAAGCACTGGTAATTATTTTTCACGATGAGTGATTTCACAGGAAAGGATAGGGAACTTCTGAAGCTCAGTCAAATACTCCGAGAACTGAATAAAACCAGTGAAATTCAAGTGAATACGTTCTTGCGCCGTTAATAACTTAAAAATCAAATAATTTCGAGGTGGAAATTAATGCTTGTATAGTCATTTGAAGGAAATTGATATTAATAAACTTGAATTTTTCGGTAAATTCGAGACTGGCTAGGAATTTCACCTCTACCCTTTAACCCATAAATCGTAATTGCTTTTACTCATCCATTCACTCATGCCCTACCTTTCTCTTGTTTTCGTCGCTTTCGTTTATTGCATATTTTCACTGCACATATGCTGAGGATAATAGCAACAATGAAGAACAATATTCCACCCACGACACCGGCAGTGATAGCTTTGTGTTTGACTCGTGCCGGCACTGGAAATCTCGTTACTTCGCCCTCAACAAAATTCGTTGCCGAGTGAGCGCGAACTTTGAAGTAATAGGTTCTTCCACCGACTAAATTTTTCACTGAAAAATTCGAGAAATCAATTAGTCACACATAAAAACATAAACCACATAACTCTACGATAATGCTTACCCAGATAACTAGACTCCTCGGAGCGAATTTGTCCCTTGTTAAGTGGTTTCCAAGGCCCATCAGTTTTGTAATAAATCTCGTAGTACTGAACAAGATGCACTCTCTCCAGTGGATGCTGCCAGGTGATCAAAAACCCATTACTGATCTCAGTGACGGTGAGATTCCTTGGGAATCCTGGCTTGGGGCCGGTATTCTCTGAAGCAACTCCCCCGGTAGCAGGTGTCGTGTTGGGGGGATTGACACCGGCCTCCAACGTTCTAATTGTCGTTACAGCACTCAGCATTCCACCACTAATCGCATTTTTTCCGACGACCTGAGTAACAATCAATCTCCTCATGAATGATGATTGATTGAAATAAAGCTCATCAAATCTACTTATAATCTAACTATCAAACGATTAAATCATTAAAGATTAAACAGAATTCGCCAACAATTGGCAATTGCATTGCCACATGAATTCAGTGATTTGATTAAAAGGTATTGTTTGAGGGGAAAAGATGGAAGAATTTAGTGAAATCGAGAGAAAGGGCTCACCTGAAATTCGTAGAGAGTACCAGGGGCTAGATTATTGATAGTAACCGATGTCCTGCCGGAGGGTGTAACCGGTATTGTTGTCCACTCAGTAACACCAGCCCTCCTGTACCAAATAGTATAATCTTGTTTGTAATCTGGACCACCAGAATAGCCCGGAAACCAATGTAGGGTAACGGTGAATTGTGTTGCTGAACCAGTAACATTGTAAGGCGCATGCGGTTGTGAGCCTTCAACAATCAATTGAGTTGCTGATACAATAGTTGCTACCTCATTTGAGGCAACACACTGATAATAACCAAAGTCTGTTCGTTTAAGGCTATCAATGGTTAGATTTCCACCGATAATTTTTCCCCGATTGCGCTCGAGGGGTGCACCATTTCTCCTTTGCCACTGAATTGCCGGTTTCTGGGTGCCCTCAGCTTCCTGTGCATCACAAGCCATTTCCACTGTTTCACCGATTTTACGTTGGTACATTGGCTCGGGCTCAATAGTAAATATCGGTGGATTTCTAACAAGTACGTCCATTGGTCCTGAACCACCCTGAGTACCGTGGGCATTGTACGGTGTACATGTGTATTTTCCCTGGTGATTCTCGTTTACACGGGTAAACAGAAGGGAGCCATTGTTCATTATCACGATGTCCTTGGTCTGATAAGGCTCCAGGAGACGCTTGTCCTTGGTCCAGGTTACGTATTGGAGGGGAGGATTGGCTTTTATGTAGCACTGAACTACACCCGCCAATCGAAATGGCAGGTACTGGACTGTCGGTGTGAATGTCACTTTTGCTGGGTCTGATAACGAGAATAAATCCTATTAATTCAATCATTACTCATCGATAAACCAATTTCATTCTCTGAATTTCATTTTTTTTTGTATCAAATAACCCGGACCGCTCTGGGTAGGAGAGAAATATATTCAAATATTATGAATTTGATATTGAAATCAATTCTAATGTTGGTGCAGTCGTGTGCATGGGACTATAGGGGAGGCAATTCGAAAAATTCGACTGTGCAACTGAATCGAAATGCAACTGCCCCCACCACGCTCGCTGAGATCGAAAAATTATTTTTTTTCATAGCAATCTCTCGAATACGAGAGAAATTTATTTTTTCGTTGGATTTTGGAATTAAATTCTTCACCTTGAGTCTGGAGGCTGTACAATGGAGGAACCGCGAGACACCCAAAAATATAAATTGATAAAAGATGCGAGTATAACGGGATTATACTGGAATTGATAAGTTGTGGTGTTATCCATGCAAATTGTGATATGGAATAGGGAGGAAAAAAATGCAATTCAGCGGGTTAAAGGCTAAATGGAGTAAAAAATGAATGGAAATATTTACACTCGACGTTGAGATAGGCGCTTGCACTCTGGGGCTCGCCAATACCATTAGTGACCTCGCACAGGTATTGACCAGTGTCGTCTGCACTCACTGGATTAATTACGAGGCTACCATCTTTCCGGATGGACACTCTTGTGTCGAGTTCAGAGACCTCGGTCACTGGCGCACCCTCGCGAAACCACCGTACCGTCACATTACCAGGTAATGCTTTAGCTTCGCAGGGAAATTGCGCCTTTTCACCCTCGAGTTTAGTCTGATTGGTCGGCGCAACCATGATGACTGCTCCACCTTTTTAAAACAGAACACAAAACATTAGAGGATGGGAACGCTTCATTGAGCAATCAGTGGTGGTAGAGGAAAAATTGTAATTTTTATTTTTCCGTTCGAGATGACCAATGAGGAATTTATCCCACGCGTTTCGAGATACTTCAACTCGGGCGAACTCCATTTTTGTGTTCCTACTTTTATCATAAAGACATAAAAAATTGACAGGATAACAGGGGAATTGAAGGGGTATCTTATTCCAATATTCTAATACAAAAAGAAGAAAGGAAATTGATCTTGAAATATCTCGAATTGGCGTAAATGTAAAACCGGAAGACGAAACCGAATGGCCGCTCTTCCGTTAATAATCATCCCATTCTGTCCCTTTCAATTATTTATTAAGAAAAAAATACAATTACCATTATAAAGTAAGATATTCGCATAATAATAGTTGAAATAAAAAAAAAAACTAGGTAGGGGGGTAAAACTGATTGCACTTCTGAAAGAGGAACGGGCCATTTTGAGTCTTAGAAGGGCGGTCGACAAAATGGCGGAAAAGACTTTATTGGAAAGATGGTTAAACGACGGGATCAAATTGAAATTTGAAATTGATAATTCTATTTGTCGAGTGCAGCTTGGTGAAAATACACCACCTGGCTGTCGAAATGTGTAGGATCTCACGGCTGCACTTAAGGTAGAAAATTCAAATAGGAATGCATCTCACCGGCAATGACAACTCTGGTGGTGTGGCTGATCTGGCCCTCTCCATTTCTTGCAATGCATGTGTAGTCACCAATGTCCTCGGTCTTGATTGACGAGATCCTGAGTTCAGTACCCTCGTTGAATATACCGATGGTATTGGATGTTGCTACAGGATTGGCATCTTTGTACCATACTATTTCAGGTGTGGGTGTACCCTCAGCCTGACAATTGAGAATGATAGCATCACCCAGATTCACGTAGATCATCTCCTCCGGGGTCATGGTGAATCTCGGTGGAGCTGAAATAGCCAATTCGCACGTTGAAATTTCCGCATTGAAATCTACATTTCGCTGGCCCATTCAAATTCAACGACAACTCCACCTCAATATTGCATTCAACTTTCTAATGTTATTAAATTTTCATTTCAAATTTCATTTCAGTCGACAGTTGTGGGTCGATTATGTCGGGCAGTTTTCCAACTTTTAATGGCTTGACTCCGAGTTTTAGAGACAGTTGGAGATTAATCAGTGTGAAATTTTTCAATTTAGAGATTTGTGGGAAAAATTGATATGAAATTAAATCGCAAAGTTCGAAAATATAAAGTAAGACGTTGAGATTGCTCCGAGAATTCTGAGCAAAATAAAGATCAAAACTTTAATTTGTTTCCACTGCAGCTTAAGAATCCGGAGAGGCTTCCAAAGAACAAAGAGCAACATAATTGAATTTAAAAAATTGCTCTGACAAAAACCTCCAGAATTTCAATTTATGTCTCTCCACTAATTTTTGAATCAATCTCGTAATAAGCAGATGAGAACTTTCCAAAGTCCCGTAAATTCCTTCCTTTATTCGTCTTTCGCCGGAGAATTAATCATTAAAGTTTGTGAATACAAAATGCCTCTTTGTATCCCATCTCATCTAACTAAAACTAAAAATTCAATTCTTGCCATGAAAATTTAACAACCAAGAGAGTACAAAACATCCTGTTCCGCCAGAATTGAATTATATCTGGAGTCTGTAAACTCATCATCACTTTCAATTATTTTTCAACAATGCAGTGTTAAAACGCTGTTTAATTACCAATTATCTTCAATTCAATTCCATCGACTGAACTCAAAATATAATAATATATCAGTTATGTACTCTCATTTATAATAATAAATAAAATGTATCGAATACATTTTTTCAAGATATAATACGTAGATAAATGAATAAATGAATAAATGAATAAATGAATGAATAAATAAATAAATAAATAAACAAATAAATACGAACCATGAACATCCAGATGAAACCACGTGCCATTTTTTGGGCTGTTGGGTGATCGATTTAGAAATACGACTTTGCACTCGTACCATCCTTGATCACTCTCTCGTATATTCGTTAGATTGAGACTTGCCGATCCATAAGGTGAATTAGGGCTCACCCTGGACACACGCCCTTCATATCCTTCTCCACTATGTGTTGGATACGACTCGTACCATATGTATATAGGTATCTCCTGCCCCTTGCACACCAACACGCATCATAAACGAGGGATCACACGTGATAATAAACACCACTATAAAACTACGTGCAAGTGGTACTCATAATAAATCATCATTCTTGCACCAGTTTAAGTGGCAACGAATTATCCTACTCATATTCATTACGATATTCTACATGCGAGGCAACTCAAAATGACGAATCAAATGTAACAGCGATGGTATACCATGAGCGATTAAATTTTTAAGAATAATTGGGAACAGGAGAATGGGATAAGATTGCTATAAAGGAACTACTTCAGTATCAAAGATGTTTATTGTTGAAGGATATTATTTTAATTGATTAATAGTCAGCTGTTCAGTAGTGCGTGGAATTTTTTTTTAATTAGGAATCAATTCTGGTAAATGTGGGATAAATCCCTGAAAAGGAAAACTGTTTTTTCTCTGGGCTGATAAAGATCTTTGACTCTAGTGTAGGGTTCAACGTCAACTTTTTCTCGTTTCAACAAGTCTACACAACCTTCTTCCCCATTGGGGTTCATTAAAACAGAAACCACTAAAGTATTTTTGGTTTCAACAATTCATTCAGGAGATTATCTCATTAGAACCTTGACACATTCACCGGAAATAGCTCCGAGATAATCCACAAATGAAAAAAGTTAACTTCAAGTTTTCCATCCTTAATTCCTGCATCAACAACTTCTTTGATACGAATCACACGATTCGAGTTCACATCCACAATTGTCATGAGGGAATACACCATGCGCCAGTGAACCACATCCCCCGATTTCCCACGCATAACTGCCCCTTGATAAAAGACTCCCTCTCTCGAAACAAACCTCAACACCGACGAGTGTTAAATCTCTCCTTTCCCTTCAAACAGGGTCGAGTGATTCTATTCTTCTCATTGTAACCCCGGATCGATCTACACTAAGAGAAAAAAAAATCATCGCGTCTTTCAATTGTAACCGGAAAACCAAATTAACAATCAACGTAATTCACAATCGTTTCAAAAATTTATGAACACCAACACAATTGATATTCCTTGACTGTTTCGTTTTTTTCAATACAAAGAAGATAACCCTCCAATAAGATAACTCTAAACATCCAATCCCTAAAGAAAACTGAGTGCCGCCATGTCGTGTGCAGGGGTCTCTCAAGATGGCGGCGCTGCCACCTCGCGTTTTCGAATAATTATAAAAATTATTTATCTCATTCAAATGACATTCATTTTGCTGGATGGTATTGGCGTAGAGTGAACAAATTTTTGAAGCCATCTTGAAGCCATTTTCATACATTTTTGGTTGAGAAATGGCGGAGTAAAGAATGTGGTAGTTTTTATAGACCGTGAAATATGCTAGAGTTTTAACTCTCTGAGGGTATCCAGCATCGAAATCCATCCCCCGATAGAGACTAACGTAAGGTTGGTAACCCTGACACAGTCAAGTGGTTTTTTTATCATCCATACAGCGTTAGTGCATTATGTACATGCGACCTCTCGGCAAACCACCAGCTATTTTCCCTCTTTCAGGTTTTACCCATTTAAACCCACCCCAATGTGCACTTAATATATCTGTATATGAGTTCTCGTGTGAGCCATGAGCTTATACACAAGGCCGCGAGAGGTGCTCTTTGGCCTATTTTTAAGCCAACTAACAGTTAACCGAGTACCAATCGATATGTCCGTAGCACACGGCGTATTCTCTCAAAACAATTCTCATTTTTTTTTATGTCTCGTCGGTGTTATTTCTACGAACACTGGCAGTGGAAAAATAACAGAACAACGTAAACAGGGAGTTTAGTCGGGAGATAGTTATTGGGAAATGAGTCGTGCTGGCATTTTCAGTTTCTCGAGTCCTAGGGCGATAACTAGCATGCACCTAATTACGTGGCACTGGATGCGAGATGATTAGGGGAGAGTATTCTGTTTAAATTTTAGCAAATGGAGTTTCAGTTTGATTGCTTGGCCGTTTTGTGTTGGAGATATTCTCTCCGCATTCAGTAGCGATGAGGGAAAACGGATTTACGTCAATGGATTTTTCGTTGGAAATATCTAAAAATCATTAACAAATAGAATAAAATAAATAAATCATTTTTTAATTTATTATGATTTTGAAAGAGGGAGTTACAGAGATGAAAAAATGTTCATCAATTATTCGCTGGGAATAATTAATGAACAATTATATTTTCGCGAAATTCTAAAAATCATTCATAAATAAAATAAAATAAGTAAATCATTTTAAAATTTATTATGATTTTGAAAGAGGGAGTTACAGAGATGAAAAAATGTTCATCAATTATTCGTTGGAAATAATTAATGAATAATGATATCTTTACAAAATTTCGTTAAAAATCTGGGATAAACTGGGACATAAAAGAGAGGTATGATGTCCGGTTATGAAAATGGAAACGGGTTTCAACAAAAAAAAATCCAAAGTCCCTGTATATCCGCAAACCGTTTCCCCTCATTAGTCTTCATTAAAAAACGAAATAAATAATAATTCCTATTGTCATTTCAAATTTTTCGTTGGAGAAAGACAATAAAATGAACGATCCCACAGTCAAACAGCATTCACTCAATTTAAACAGAAGATTCTTCTAGATAATCCAGAATATGACCCATGAAATATTGAAATCATGCGAGGCGTACCAGAGATTAGAGAGACAGAGGCATGATGTTGGTTTTTTTATCGACATAATCACACGAAAAATGATAAATAAATAATAAATGTCTGATGATTTGTCAGATGGCGCGAATGATTAATGAATTGCCGCACTCATGATTGATCGAATGAAAAAACATTAGAATTACCCAACGAGAACTTAAATTAAATTATCAATAATCAAACAAATAAATAAATAAAATATGCCGAAAGGAGCGCCGGGTATTGGTTATCCAGGCCAACGACCTCTCATCGAATACCCAACGCTCGTATGACATCCCCACGGTGTAATTATTCCTCCACTCATTAATTTAACCATCAACTCAGCAGCGACTGTCAATTTATAATAAATGCGTAAATATATCGCCGAGTTAATTTTACAGAAATCCAATAATTTATGGATAATTTTGAAATAAAAAAACTTTGACAATCTATTGATTAATAAATATCGAGGATTTAATTATTTATTTATTTGTTAGTGAACGCGCTCTGCCCTCTTCATTCCGGATTCCATAACAGATAACAGACACTGTCTCTCATATTAAACGATAATCACTAATAACTGCTACTTTTCGAGTTATTATGAACGGCGTGTCTTGTTCGCCGGTTAATCTCTCATAATTCATCAAATTATTGATACTCCATAATCTTCAATGACGTTCATTCATTTATAGGCAGTTAAGCTCATCAATTTACGTAGAAACGACGAAGCATAAATAATAATCGAGCTTATCACGACAGTAATCCATAAACGTTCAATAAAAACAGTTTTCCCAGTAGCGTTACACGTGTCTCATTGAGGGGCTGCGCACCGAGGGCTTTTCCTGGCACCAATTGCATTTATATCATTTTTTTAATCACAAGAGGTCACACTAAGAGAAATTGAATAAATTCTCAAATAAATTCTGCTGCTCCTAAAAAAACAATCAAATTTTCGATTTGATGGTTTTTTTTTTCATTCGATTCCCAGATTTTTTGGGAA